ATTCCATTGTATCTGTACACCACAGTTTATCTCTTCATCTCTTGATAGACATCTGAGTTGTTTCTACCTTTTGGCTATTATGAATAATGCTACTATGTCTAAAATTTCATGTCACCTTTGAGAATAAATGAAGTAGAATATGTAAAGCACTTAGAATAATGTCTAAAACTTACCTAGTAGGAAACAATATAAGTTTTATATACTATTCTTATTATATCATATATTTCTATGTATACACAGATCTGTTGTTAGTCTATTTTGTTGCATTTATCCTCATCTATTTCTCTAAAAATATCACATTATTTTAATAACTACAGTTTTCTAGGAAACTTTAAAATCTGGAAGGACAAAACATACCCTCCACTTGATCATATTCCTAAAATTGATTTGATAATTCTTGTCCTTTCACTCTTCCATGTGAATTTTTAGAATAGTCTTCCAGGTTCCATGAAAATAATTAATAGGATATTGATTGTCAGTAATCTCTCTGTTCTTTGTGTTTGCTTTTTACTTTTATTCTTCGTGTTTGCTATGCTATAGTTTCAATCCAATGTCTCTTAGGTTTAGATTTATTTTGATTTATCCTGTTCCGGGTTTACTTTGTTTCCTTAATCTATCAAGTCATATCTTTCATAAGTTCTGGAACATGTCAACCATATCTCTATTTTTATACGACTTAAAATATGTTGGATATTCTCATCTATCCTTCATGTCACTTAACTTATCTTTCATATATCCCATCTATGTCTGTGCTGTATTCCAGGAAATATATTGATCAATTCTATTTTCTAATTCATTAATCCTTTCTTCAGCTATATCTAATCTATTTTGTGGTATCCACTTTTTATTAAAATAATATTTTTATGTCTAGAAAATCTATTTGGTTCTTATTCAAATCTGCCTCCTTTTTAAATACAGTATCTTGTGTTTAATCCTTCTTTTTCTGGCATATCTATTTAATATTTTTACTGGATAGTTCTTATCTGAATTTCTTGGCAATCTAATCTTGACAGTTCTGAATCTGCTGACTCTTGCTCAAGATGGGTTGTTTCCTCATCTTCAAAGTGAGTGAACAGTGGGAGGCATGTAACCTCCCACTGTTGAATGTTTATCACTATTAAGATATTCTGATTTTTGTCAGGTACCCCAGGAATATCACTTTCCCCAGATGCTTTTAATGTTAATTTCTTTGCTTGGAAACTCCAAGACCACATAGGTATGAATTCAATTCACAAATCCATGTGATGGAGGGCAATGATTATACATTCTTAGGAGAGAACTTTACTCCACTCAGAATCCAGGCCAAAACAACTTTCTTTGTAACCTCCCTATGCCAGTGGGAATATTTTTCCTAGTCTACCATTTTATCATAAAGAAGGCTCCAGACTTTATGTGTAGTTCTAAGTTCCTACTCTTCACCTTACACAGGCCCAAGGCCTAATCCCCTGGGTATTAAATCTCAATCCTGGAGATTAATAATATTGGTTCACAGAATTAGCAAGTCCTCAATCATTCTGGTCTGCAATAATATCACCTCAGATGTCTATTGATCTAATTTTAACTTCCTTTTACATGTTTGCTTCATAGGGAATTTTCTTATATTCTTTGAGCTCAGCTATTCATTTCAGCGAATATTTTATCTAGCATTTCTAGGTATTTCGTAGGAGCGTTTTTAGATTTTTAGTCTTCCATATTACCATTAATAGTTTTTCTTCTATTTCAGTTCCATACAAATGGTTTTCCTATTTTTGAGTACTGATGAAGTCTTTTTTATTTTTCTATTTCACATTTCATCTACCATTATTATGTGTTTGAACCAGAGTGAAGAACTCAAAGGATAATGTCACCTTGACTGGAAATCCCAGATTTGTTATTGATTATGAGCAAGGCAATAGTAAATTGGGAGAGATAGCCCAGCATTTCCTTGTATATGTGTGTGTACATGAATGTGAATTTCGGAGAACAGCTGAAGCTAACATGTGGGCCCTGTTGGTTGGTTGTCCACTTAGCAGCTATGCCCTTTTATTTTCTTACTGGAAGACACCTGATTTTGTTTGAGTTTCCACCCCTCCCTCATGTGACTCAGAGGTAAATCTTTACCTATGTCATTCCTGGCAATATCATTTTCCTTGCTAGTGACAGATTTAGAAAGAGACATGTAATCTGTTCCTAAACAATAGAATCTGCCGGGAGGTCTATTGGAGCCTTCTTGGAAATGTTTCCTCTTAGAAAAGAAAAAAACAGGTAGAGTATTTCTTTCGCAATTCATTGGGTCCAAGATGTGTTGTCTGAAACTGTCCTGGCCATTCAGAGAACATGAGAGGAGACAGCCACCAAGCTGAGGACAGCAAAGCAGAAAGATGCCTTCTTAGATGGTAGTGGTGTGTTATGAACAAACAAAACAGGAAGCCATCTATGTCTCGCTATGTCACTTTCCAACATGTTAGGTAATATCCCCTTCTTTGTTAAGCCAATTAAATCAGAATTTTCTGTTACTTGCATCTGAAATATGCTATTGGATATACCGTAATGTAAACCCACCATTTAGTGGTAACAGTCTAAAAGACGAAGGTGAGCATAAATTCATCCCACCCACAATACATGGCTTTGACCAGATGACTGTTTTGTGGGCACATGAGGAGGTTGCATTTACTCTATAAAAATTTCCTATGGAAAAAGGATGATAGCTATGAGAAGCTGAAGCCAAAAGGAACTACAGAACGTTTTTTCATCTTCTCATGCAAGTGGGTCAGAATATCTGAACGCATGCATAACTAGTCAAAAATATTTAATGTTGCATCCATATTAGTTATAATTTGTTTTATCTATCTTGCTTCCTCCGGCTTAAAAATGGTCCATCTCTGCAGGCTGTTGTGCTTACAAAGAGGTGGCATAGTGTGATAGGAAAGGAATGTGATTTAAATCAGTCCCTATACTCTGGTTTCTCTTCAGATCGCATAAATCTTTCGCCTTTTAAATCAGTTCCTGAGACTGCACTATTCAGCTATGTGAACTTGGGTAAATCACTTCTAAAACCTTATTTGTCTGCAAAATGAAAATATCATTATCTGCCATATGGGAGTTGCTATTAGAATAAAAGATGAAATATGGACTTACAAACTGTAAAGCTCTTTGGTATGTTAGTTAGTACAATGTCTTTTTTCTGATTTAGTAATTTAATCCATGCAATTTAACCCACATGGTTAACATTTGCATTCCTTTACCCAAAGCAACGATTCCATTAAATTTCAGGATGGCAGGGCTGGTTAGCGGAGAAGTCTTCTGAGTGTGTCATGTCTTATTGAGAGCATAGGTTGGCCTGGTGTTAGCTGTGGCCCCCTCACACAGCATGGCTTCTCAGATACCTAAGGGGCACTGCTAGGGGTGTGCCAATGAGGAGGAGGAGCAGGATCCCATTTTCACAGCAAGGAGCTGGCTCCAGACTTGGCCATTCCTGTGCACAGGTCTTCCAGGGCCTCTCTTTGGGGACTCGGTTACCCACAGTCTCTGCATCCAGACCATTTCCATGTGAGGGCTAGCAACCTCTTTCATTTTCTCTTTTTTTTCTGTTAAAGTCTCTAGTTAAACAAAACCAAAACAAACAAAAGCCTCACTGATTATTAAGAATGTATATTTAATGTGTGTGATATTTTGAGAAAGAGGAAATAAAAACTTCTTCAAGCAACATCTCTCACATTTTCAAATTTTTTCTTAAACTGGTCATTTTATCAATATTTGTAAACTTCACAGGGATCAAAAAAAAGGCAGATCTGGTCCAAAAGTCTTGTTTTCAAATAAGGAAACTAAGGCTAAGAGAGGTAAAGGGATTTTCTTAGGGTCTTTGATTTTTAAACTTATAGTAGCACATAAATTCACTCTTACTTTTGTAAACGTGCTAACAGGGATAACTTGATAATATTCTTATATAAGCAAAAGTTACAAGATTAATAAATTATAATGGGGAAATTTTAATAGATCAGGATACTTAGTACTATTAGACAAGTAGTAGAAAAATGGAATTGTTCAAGTACCCAAGCATCAACTGCCTCAGTTGATTCCTGCAACACTCCTGCAAATTAGTACACCCTATCCTAAGAGGGACATGGATGACTGTTTAGGGAGAACTACCAGGATTATGGGATAACTTGAAGTTAAGTCTAATTAGGGATGGTTTAGGAAGGAAAAGATGAGAACTTGAAAAGAAGACTCACATGCTTGCTGAATGAATGGTAGACACAAAGCTATTCTTCAATTCTATTAGGTGGTGCTCCCATATACAGGCTTCTATATACAGAAAAAGTCATTCTTACTCTGATGGCCCTAATGATTTGAGCTCAGTGGATAACAAAAAAACGGAATTATGCTCAATAGAAGGCCCTTCCAACCATAAACCAGTATTACAATTCTATGAATTTAAGTATAACTGAAAAGCCCCCAAGTGAATTACTTTTGCTAAAAAATGAGTGATATTAAAAATAATCCATTCAACACAAAATAAACATTGTTAGCGTTTCTAAAAGAGCTGCACTATAATTCAACAGTAATTGATTAAGCATTAATTTTAGGTAGAGTGGGAAATATATATTTTTTCACTGGTCTAAGTCATGCATAGTCAGTCTTTAGGGCACTTACAAAACTGTGTTTTCAATAGTATATATTCACCACCTGGATTGTGATAATAGTCATGCAAGATTTCTATTCTGTTCATTTGGGATAAACTTGAAACAGAGTGTTTCCCAGGCCTTTAAACTTTAACCATAGGAATCTTTTACACAAGCAATCGTTTCCTACTACCAGTAATTCCAGATATCTTCAAATGTCCCATAGACCTTACAACTATTGCAAATCTCTCAGGAGCATGACTCCCTTCTCTTGGCTTCAAGAAAAAAAAAAATCTACTACACAATAGCATAAATTATTGAAATGACAGCAGAGTCCAGGAAATCTTTATTGAAAAAGAACTCTAATGTTAATCCTCTAAATGCATGCCCTATTTTTTCTTTCTTTCTTTTTTTTTTTTTTTTTTTACTATTTTTGAAAGCATGAATCACTCTGAATTGAATGAAGTGAAGTAGGGAAGATTTGATCAGAAGTGTCAAAGTAGGTTAAGACTCTCTCATAGTACTCCACAGGGAAGGGAAATGTGCCCTGCTCCAGAGTGGCTGCTTAATTTAAACCATCAATAAGTGCTTGCTTAACTAATTTGCAGCAGCGTCCTCTGGTGAAGCTCAAACTTTATAGCCTCCATTCAAATTGCAATCTTTGAACACCTGCTCATTTGTTACATTACTACTCCATAATGTCATGGACAAAAATATCATTTCTTCTTTGGCAAGCTCCGAGCCAGTTGCGAAGGAGCATGCATCCTGGGCATGTTTTTTCTGCTTCCGGTATCAGTAGAACTCAATGATGGTTTATGGTAGAACACCATGCATTTGATTCTTAGTTCTGACTGTACATTAGAAATGGAGACAAGTTTTATGTCTCACATCCAAAGGTTTTATTTTCTCACTTTGACTAGTAAACTGTCACAGTAGTATTTGACCATATATGTAAGAATTCTCCAGCGTGAATTCAAGAATAAGCCTAAATTCTTCCACTAAAGGCACAATCACCAAGAGAAATGTGCTCCCTCTGCTCCAGTGAGTCTCATTTTTTTCTCAGTTACATGGCACAGAACACATTTCCACCAATACTGATGGTCATTCTGGTAGTGATTCTCAACCAAAAGGGCTTCTATCTAGAAGACAGATGATCCAGGTATGAACAATCTGCCATCCTCTAAGAATCTTTGGTTTTTCCCCAATAAAAAGATGATTGTTCTAGCTCTGGCAGTAATTGTGACTGTGTGTTTTAACCAGCATTGAGATCTGTAGAGCTCTTTACACGTTTGATTATTTTAAATCCCGAACAGTATTTTTCAGTCCTAGCTGTACCTTAGAAATATATATGGAGTTTTGTTAAAAATACATGTCCAGGCAGCATCAGATCAACAAGCTTAGAAGACCCAAAGCACCAAAAAGATGATAATGCCCCCCTTCATACATACTTCAAATTGAAAATAATAAAAAATCATGAAACACACGTGAGGAAGTCCACCCTAGATTGAATTTTTGTGTAAAGTTTGGGCGCACTCTTCCAGTTTTTTGTTTCTTTTTGATTTTGATGCCTCTGATTTGCTACAGACCTCAGCGTGATCCTTACCACTGGAAAATGCAGGCCTGGGTGAGTTTTCAGACTTGTAGTCTGAGCCCCAAGTGGATGCATGGAGGGGAAGGGGAGAGAGGCTGAGAGGGAGAAAGACTGGGTAGAAGCATCCCAAAATGCCACGCAGGGCATGCTGCTTAAGAAAGGTTCTATAAGGCCATTGAAGAGTCTTCAAACCAAAATCAGCTACCAGAAGAGTTCTGTGTCTCCCACGAAGGGCCTGTCTTAGTTTATTTGCCACACTCAGTGGCTCAGAGGAACCACGGAAGGCATGGCTTCAGTGCAAATGCAGCAATGGATTCCAAAGTGCAACTGGGCCTTTGGTCAACTGCATTCTCTGCACTCCCCCTGTACTGGAGGTCTGTGCCACAGATCTCCAATGTGGTAAAGGAGCTGGGAAAAAGCTTTCCCTTACTAGCTTGTTTTAAAGCCTTCCATAACTATTAACTTAACTTCTCATTATTATAGAATCAGAAGTAGTAAAGGAAAAGAAAGTAAAAGCAAATGTTACTTGAATACACAAACTCACAAAGTTTTCACACCTGTGAACAATGTACCAAATGTTTTATTTTTCTCAGTAATTCATATGCAAATAATTGACTCTCAAAGCATTTAAAAAATGCACAACAGACATTATTACACTTTACCAATGAATTACTTCTGTCCCAGGACATTAAATCAAATAAAAATGTTACAAATACATGAATGTTTATTTTTATACCAACTGAGATGATGAGTTTATCAATTTCTATACTTTTTCTTAGTTCAATGTTTTGTTCCTGCATTTTTAGAATAAACTATGTGTAATATAATTTCTTAAATATTTAGGACATTTTCAATAGCTATGATTCCTATGAAAAATATAATTAGATATCCCAAATTCCTGATTAAGTCAGGTTTAACGACACAAAATACTGGAACACTTGTTATGAAATTGTTTATAATGATCCTTTTAATAAATTCCAATTAACCACTAATATAGAAATTTGGTTTAAAGCTACAAGTTTTATATATAATACTTTTCTTCACAAACAAAAAAGAATGACCTTAAAAAGGCACCAACTACCAGAGCAAACATTTAAGGCATTAGTTATTGCCTTCTCTTTTTAGATTATACATTGAATAGCACTAGGAAAATTTTTAAAGTTTTATGGCCAGGTCTTTAAAAACATCGATGATGACAAAACCACTACCACACATAAATACAAATAGAGCAAAACCAAGTGTGTCCACATCTTCATCTCATCATTAATTCAGCAATTTGAAATAAATGCCATGTTAAACACCACGAGCAAACTGAACTGACTCTCATGGACCTGCTCCTTCAAGGAACACATCTAATACTTATTTTTCATAGCCTTATTTTACTTATATATAAAGCATCTAGAGATTCTTCACTCTAGGAAATAAGTATTTAAAATACATTTCTAGGTATGCATTACGATTAGATGTTAATTTATGATGCCCTTAAAGTCTTTCAGCTTCTAAGAAACAATTCTGGAAATATAAAAATATCAAATTTTACATATTTCTGAGCCTTGAAAAACTTAAAATGTGATATTTTCATATATCAGCAAATTATAATTGTGTCATGTAAGTTCATCTTGAAAGAGCATGTAAATAACTTCCAAATTTTTGTGGATACTCCATTACAGAAAATAGAGTATAGATATTTTAAGGTCTGATTGTCCGTTATTTCTTTTATTATAGTGCAAGAAGGAAAAATAAGCACCAAAGTAAAACATGTTTTCTTAGCAGAAAAACAATGTTTTCATGAACAAAAAAGAAAGAAAATATGCCATTTCTCCCTTTAGTGGCTTTTCTTCAGTCAATTACCTTGTTTACCAAAAATGTGATCTCAGTTCAATTATTAAACAAATCAAATCACCCTTAAACAAAATGTCAAAGTGTCCAGCATTTGACTATGGGTAAAATCTTTCAAGGAACACTAGTCATTCTAAGGTCCTTTCTTTTTCTTCAATAGGATTTTAATTAAAAATAAGCCTACCGCCCTCTGCTTCACAATTTTAATATTAATGAAAATTACACTCTGAGTTTGAAGTGAGGTTCCTTCAGCGGTCTGATCCATTCAGGTGGCAGCGTAGAAGTGGATTGGTAACATACACATGGTTACAAAATTAGAGTCAAACCTGAAGGGGAAAAAAGTAGAAAACCCAATACTAGCTATTCGAGAAAAATAAAACTATAATGAGTTCTTGAAAAATTCTCTTTAGCAATATAAAGCAGAGTGATTTATAGACAAGACTGATGATTGGTTTTTCTCCCCCCAAGAGCTGTGATTAAGATGGTATTTGGGGCCTGACAAGTCTCAGTGATGATTGCTTCATCAATTTTTGCTGGTGTCTCGTTGACTTTGCATCCTCAATGGCATGATATGCTCTCTGTAAAATAAAATACTTATTATGAATTTTAATGACAAGTACAAGCTCATTTGGTGGAAGAATGGTACAAAAGCCAGAGTTGGAGCTCTCTACACAGATCCAATAGCCAAGGACAAGGACACAGTCCAAAAATGGACTGCAAAATAAGACCCTTCCTCCCTACTGAGTCCACAGTGTATTGTTTTAAGTTGTTATTTATATAACCAACTCTTCTTATAACTGGAAGAGCCTTTAGGAAAAAATAAAGAGTATTGCTAATCATAACAGGAGCTTTTTGGTTTTTAATCTTTCAACTAAAAAAAAAGTGAAGGGTGCTCTTAAAATAAATCTTTTACCTCTGCCGTGGTGGTATCCTTTAGGTAAATTTTCCGAAGACAGCCTTGACTGGCACTGTCTTTCTTGTGGAACAGACCCTGCTCCTGTTTCAAAAGAAATGACAACAGAAAAGAAATTATGCTGAGGAAGAAAAAAAATCGTAACCTTTAACTGGATGCTTAAATGTGTATTTTATAATCAGGAGACTAACCAAACACACATATTCAAGTATGATACGAAATACATCATCTTGGTTTAAGGATACTGGTTCTATGTGTGAGTTGTTAGAATTTACAAAATTAGATGAGTATACATCAATCTGTATAAAATAATGGCTTTCTGGAGGCTATGATAAATAGCCTACAGAAACACCACTTGATAACTCATCACATCTGACAAATCAAAAAACCATTCCTTCATTTCCTTGGCTGATAGATAAAATTCTTATATAATGTAAAATACATGGAGTCAATTCTCACCACTGATGTGAACGAAAAGTGATAACTAAGAAAACTGTAAAATATATGCATACTGACATAGTCTTTCCTAGTTTGAAAATTATGTTTCATACACTGAGGCACTCTTTACATTTTGACACTGTACAATGAGGTAATGCTGAATTACAAAATGGTAGGGTGACAAGATAGTTCTTTTATTTGTAAATTTTCATAAAAAGAAAAGTTAACATCAATTAAAGAACAACAGTACTTGCATCTCTATTAAACTCTGTGGTATGTTTTTCAGACAGTTTTAGTAATAGAAATAACATCATTGTTTAGGAAAAACAAATATTAAAACTACCATATTTATAAAGACAATGCATGATTTTTTAAGATATAAAAATACATTTATATTATATATAACATATATAATGTAATAAACATATGTTCCAAAGTCAAGTACATGAGTCTGACAACTAAGCAAAACATGGGGTATCATTTTTCCTAATTACTTACTACATAATTAAAGTTCTTTCTTAGAAAATGATGGGGATAAAAGAGATAAAAATATTGTTATATATTCTATAAATGCCAAACATTATAAAACATGGGCATTTTAGACATATTATTTATTTTTACCAAATCATTTAATAATCTCCTGAAAGCCAAAAAAGGGAATTTTTTCAGAAATGTCTAATTATAGCAAAATGAGTATACATATGAAATTTAAAAAAACTCCTATTTATTAATGCTTAATTTACCAAAAAAGAAATATCAGCATATCAGAATCCTAATTCTTTGGGTGGACAGACTGATATTTCACTTGATGCAGTCAAGGACTGTTAGAAAATAAAGTACAGCCACACAAATAACTGCCTACATCTTTCTTTACATCTAAGCATATAATAATAACAATAATGATGGCACTCATCCTTCAAACATTCTGTGTAATTAACTGTAAAACTGTCAGAAAGCATCGGTTTCCACTCATTTAATAAATTCTTAGCTCTAAAAATGTGATTCATGTTTTCTTACCTTAACCGAAATTTTTAGCACATTTTCATTGACAATAGGAGGACATATAAAATCTTCAAATGGACACTGCCAGTCTACGGACATATGGCCTAGGATTTCAACTTCCTTTACATACAACACTCTCCTGTTTTGTAAAAGACAACAAAAACATACAGGTAGTGATAAAGACAGGCAATTATTCTCACTAATATTCACTCTGCTAGATGGCACAGGTAGCATTGGCTCAGTAAACAATAAAAACTGGCACTGAAAAAAAGGGCCTCACATTTTTTTAAAAGTCTAGATAACTATATGATAACTACTCAACTAACAAAACAGACTTTAAAAAATTCCCCCCCCCCCTTCTGCCAATCTTGCAGAATTCAGAAAAGTGTACCCTTTTTTTAACTGACAAAAAAAAATGACAGGGGAATCATGTTTGAAACACATAAGGAACAGGCTGCACTCTCATCTGGGAAGTAATAAAGGCAGAAGCCCCTGAAAATGTTTTACTTAGAAAAGTATTAATTGCTCTTTATTGTCAGTTATTTATGCCTTCCAGTCAAGAAAGAATATGCCAGAAATGCCACAAACCTCAAATGTCAGCAAAGATTCGCTTTAGGCCTACTAATATTAATAAATACCAGATTCAAACACTTAACATGAATGTACTTTATCTCAGGGTATCCCATTTTACTCAGTAAAGGATATGAACAAGTACTTCACAGAATAGAAAGTACAAATAGATACTGATATATTAAAATTTTCATACTCATTAGTTATCAAAGAAATGCTAATTAAAACAAAAATTATTTTCCATCCCTTAATCTAGCAAAAATAAAAATTTACATGATAATACCTAATCTTAGCAAAACATAGAAGAAAGGATACTTTCATATATTGTGAGTGGTATATAAAAAACGGATACAACTTTTCTGAAGAAGCATTTGGCAATATACAGAAAGGACCTCAACAATCTTTACAACTTTTAAATTAACAATCCCACTCTTAAGAATTTGTTCTGAAAAAATACTAGAAAACAATTTCAATGCAAATATATAACAATAAAATATTGAGAAAAAGAAAACTGAATGTCAAATAGTAAGGGAATATCTGAATAAATTATAGTATATAGACCAAAGCAACATGTTGTCAAAGAATATTTAATGGTTTGGGAAGATGATCATAGTATATTATTACATGAAAAACTTACATTATTAAAATGTATATAATGCATTTTTGTACATAGTTTTTAAAAATATATATACTGCAAATATCTGATATGCCAGGTAAGTGGTCATCTATAGATGGTGAGATTACTGGTAAAAGATGTTTTTAGGGGTTATATAATTTATTGTTCAAACCAGGACATTTTTAAGAATGAAAAGGCATATAACTATGAATAATTACATTGGGACAAATGGTGTAAACTAGCATGTATGATTCGTTATTTTCATCTTTTTAATTATCTATATTAAGGTAGGCAAACTATGGCCTTTGAACCAAATATAGCCTAAGGACTGTTTCAATATATAAGATTTTACTGGAATGCAGCCATGACTATTCTTACATGTTGTTCACAGCTGTTTTCCCACTAAAAGGGCAGAGTAAATAGTTGAGAAACACAGCAAGGCCCTCAAAACCTAAATATTTACTGTCTGGTTCTTTAAAGAAAGTTTGCTGACACCTGATTTATATCATCTAAAATGAATAAGCATAACTTTATCCATAAAAAAGTTATTTTTAATAATACTGATGTTAGTCCAGGAACAGTGGCTCACACCTGTATTCCCAGCACTCTGGGAGGCCAGGGCAGGAGGACTGCATGAGGCCAGGAGTTCAAGAACAGCCTAAGCAAAATAGCAAGACCCTGACCCTGTCTCTACAAAAAATAAAAACAAAAATTAGCTGGGTATGGTGGCTCGTGCCTGTAGTCCCAGCTACTCTAGAGGCTGAGGCAGGAGGATCAGTTGAGCCCAGGAGTTCAGGGCTACAGTGACCTATGATTGATTGCACCACTGTACTCCAGCCTGGGTGATACAGTGACACGTGAGACCCCATCTCAAAAAAAAAAGAATACTTAATTTGGAAGAAATGTCACCACTTTTATGTAACCATTCATTAAAGGTCAAACAGATTAGCATAATCATAACTACCTCGAACAAAGAAATTTCTGTTAGAGAGTCTACTAAAGCTAGTAGGGAGACTAAGTCATTGTACTGATCAGGAATATTATTTTATTAATTGTCTCAAAAGCTCCATCAGTGACTAAATTTAAAATTACTATGATTTTTCAATTTACTTGAAAGAAAACCAGATATATGCTGTATACAGTAATATTCCCACAAAATGCCATGAAATCAAACAAGTACTAAAGTAGTATTACAAAAAAATCTAAATGATTCCCATTGTCTAGTACTGATCTATATAAAAGGAATATGAAAAAGAATTAACACATTGCCACTCTCAGCTAAGTGTAATACATAATACAAATAAGCATTGTTTTTGGGTTTAATCTAACGAAGACAATATAAAATTATGGGCATAAAATAAGTAATTACTTGTCAAATTCATAAAATCTGCCTTTTAGAGATTGTTTTATAGATATTTTTACCTCTTAATTAATGGGCAAACCATATGACATAACCCTCTCTTATAACCCTTTCTTTGAAAAAACTTGTAGGTTTCAAAGTTCAAATCCTGTTAATCATTTTTCCTTTCTTTCCTTCTCCTCTAAATATATTTAAACACAGTAGTGAGAAATTTATTTAGATTTGCCTACTATAAATAGTACTGTGCATTAATCCTACAAAACATATCACTTATAAAGTTCTGAAAATTATTAATCTATAATTATAATTTTGGGATATAAGTTTATTATCTAAGGTAAATCCCAAGAAAATAAGCTTGGTAGTTTAGTCAAAGTTCTTTTATTTGGAAAAATTATCTACTACTTCCAAAATACTTACACACAGAAATAATGCCCTTCTTTAAAAGGGGTATGCTACTCACCTCAAATAAAACCTAGTATGAAAAAATGATTCATGAATTAACACTCCATAACTGAATTTGTAATTCACATATAATGGTATCACTACTGCAGGTATGAACCCTATTCTAGACTCTGTCTCTTAGTAGTTGTATAACTTGGATAAGCTCCTAAACCATATTAAATCTCAGTTTCAGTATCTCTAACATGAAGGAGCTGGAATAGATGATCTCAAAGGACTTATTTAGATCTGTATTCTTGTGATTCTATGAAAATGAATATATACTTCATTGACACTGAAGTATAGTTCTCCAAATCTTCTGCCATTTTAGCCTTTAAAATTCTTATGATCCATACAACTAAGTTGCATTTGAAAAAACGTCACTTCACGATAATACCTATTAGTAACCATAAGGATTGTCCTCTTGCTTCCAGGAATAGCACAGTGGTATTGATAAGTCTCTCCTTCCAACTTTTTGATATGATTCTGAAAGGGAAACAAGATTTAAGATTTGGGAAGTATGTGCATTCAAACGGTATTTACAATACCATATGGTAGCTAATTATAACAATAGTGTTAGGACAAAGTTTATTAGAAACAAAAGTACAATTCTACATACTGGCACATGAAGCTAGAAAAATATTCATAGCATGTGTATAAATTAACTTCTACTGTTGCATTAAAAGAAAAAGGTGTATTAAATGCTTACCAAGTTATCTTCTTGAAAAATGCATTTTGTTCTATAGTAACTTAGAAATTTTAAAATATCTACCAGAAATAATTACACATTTTAATTAAATAACAAACACATGCTAATATAAAACTACTACATTAACATTATAGGGGTTCTTAAACAGAGATCCATGGCAGGACTTTGGAGTGGGTCTATGAACCACCTAACATAGAATATAAAATTTTGAAAATGTGGTTCTGCAACTTTTTTTAGAAGACAGTTCAGGCTTTTCACCAAACTTTTTGAAGGAGTCTGTGGTCCCTCTCAAAGGTTAAGAACCACTGATGTACACAAAGGTAGACGTTATACATGTGATAAAATTCCAAGATAAATGATGTTTAATGTTTTTGAACATTTGGTCTTACAGATTAATCATGCATTGAGGAGTTTATTTCTATATCAAACTATATTTCTGAGAGAAAAGAAAATGTAATGACAATATTAATATGGACAGAAAGAATTTCTAAGATTTCAAAATAGCTGGCACAATTTATTTCTAAAGACAAATACAAGCATAAAATAATTCAAGTATAAATAGTAGCCCATTAAAATACATTTCTTTTTCAACTGTCTCAAAACTATTGTGACTTGAATTAGTCAACACACATTAAAAAACAAGAGATTTTATAATGAATGCTAATGAAACAGTATTAACATCTATAATGCATGACTGAAAATCAGACTATATATGAAAATACAGAACATAAACATAATGAATACATTAAGACTTTAAACATTTTATAATCAAGACTATAACACCAATATTATTAAAAGGATAATATAATCAATATAATCACAAGCAAAGAAAGTAGGCTTGATGTTATTATTTCAATGCTTGATTATACATTTTTAAAAGATGCTTAGTTCCCAGTCATTCTGTGACAATTACAAAAAGCCACGCACAAGGAAGAGGAATCCACAAAGAAATGGATCTCATCTTCAGAACAAGTCTAAAGAAGAGAGTGCAGATTTCATTGCTATAGTTACTTGCTTCACAGTTCACCTGTGTGAATTACCTTAAAGTCTTTTAATATTTATGTCTCAATTTCTTCAAAGAGAAAATGAGAAATGAACGTAATAATTTAGTGCATTCTCAGGCTGAAATTTAAATATGTTAAAATATTTAGATTTGAGATACAATACCAGAAATACTACCCACTTTCTATCTTGTATATATTTTCATTAGTTATCAGGTTATTGTGCTTCAAGCCATTGAGAGCTTTTAAAGTACATTTGTCACCATAATACATTTTAGAAAACCTTGTTTTCAGCACTACTAAAATTCCACTGCACTCTAAGATTCAGATTAAGATATTCAGTCACTGAAAGCAACAGACAACCAGATTAGTTGATAAAATGTTCACTCTCCCTTCTCATAATACAACTTAAGGAATTTAACAATACTTTGTAAAAGCCCTTTACCTAGTAATCCAATTTTTTCAAATAAATTCTAAGGAAATAAATATAAGATATAAAAAAGCAAAATGTATACTGATGTTTATCACAGCATTATTACTATTAGTAAAATAATAGAAACAACTATAATGTCAAGAATTAAGAATCACCAACTAGACAATGTAAGATTACCTCAATGGATGGTAATGTGAGAATTAAAAATGTTAATGAAATGTTTCTAAGAACATGGAAAAATTTAACTGAAAAGAAAATGGGACACCATTTTAAATACTGTATGATCATAAGCATGTGAACCAAAATGAATATTAAATAAAAAACTGGCTATATATACATAGATACATACATACATATATATATATATATATGGAACAAAAGTAGACAGTATATCCTAAAAATATAGTATATAATTTAGTAACTCTCAAAGCTGAGTATTAAAGAATACAGAGAAATACTAAGGAGAAAAACAAAATGGGCATCAAAGATCCCCAAATAAATTGTTTAGAATGTGCCCATATTACAATAAGGGCTAGGAGGACATAATTATACACTCTGATGCTCTTTAATATTTATATGTTTTGTTACACCTGGACACTTAAGGATAGAAAGCTTATTTCTTTTGTATATCCAGCACAGTCTAAATAATCAATAAATACTTTTTACCCTATTAACTGATCACAGCAAGATGGGCAAAAGATAAAATAGCCTGAATTTCTTAATTAACCATATTCTACACTTGCCACCCTTGGAAAAAACTACCAAGTCTTCTCAATGTATAATAATTCTATTTCTTCCAATAATTATAATAATACATTAAAGTCTAAAAGTTGTCTGATATTTTACCAAAAACTAATAAATCAGACAATCTGACTATATCTAGCTAAAATAACAAAAAGTTTCTTGACATTTTGTGCTTATTGACATACTTGTAAAAAAAGAAATCACAAGGAAAAGGTTAATAACATAAAAAGCTAAACAAAAAGTAAGTAAGCAATAAGTAAAGGATAAAATCTTAACAAGTTCTAGGAATTCCCAAAAGTCTCATTAAAACAGCAATATATCCAGGCAAATTTTTAAAATGTCACTTTAATCAAAGAATCTGAGGAAGGGTAATTATTAGTAATGATTTAAGACAACACCTTGAATTAGTTATTGTGCTTGATTCCCACAGAAAACTATACATGCAGTGACATTTTTGCCAACCATCCATAAGTAGGCACAACAAAAGTTCATCAGTTACTCTTAATATTTACATGTTTTGTTACACTTGGTCCTTTAAGGACAGAGTCATTTCTTCTGTATATCTAGCATAGGCTTGTCTTTGGATGTCATTCTTTTCCTCTTTACAGTGCTTGTTTTAAATATAAACTACATAATTTATTATTTTGATAACTATAGTTTTCAAAATAAATAATGCAACTGAATAGTTGTATGTTAACAGTTTCATTATCTTCAAATATATAACACATTCAGTGTAAGTTTATACTTTGCTTTCAATTTTGGGGAGAAGCATCAAAGCTGCTAGCTAAGACACTGCTAAATCAAATTAAACATTTCCATCATTTATTTAAAAAAAGAAGGTAAAACATAACTTATTTTGAGAATTAACTATGGGGGCACTAATTTCAAGATGATAATTATTTTTATTCTCATTAAGATAATGAATCTATTTTTTTTTTTTTTTTTTTTTTTTTTTTTTTGAGACAGAGTCTCACTTTGTTGTCCAGGCTAGAGTGAGTGCCGTGGCGTCAGCCTAGCTCACAGCAACCTCAAACTCCTGGGCTCAAGCGATCCTCCTGCCTCAGCCTCCCGAGTAGCTGGGACTACAGGCATGCGCCACCATGCCCGGCTAATTTTTTTTTATATATATCAGTTGGCCAATTAATTTCTTTCTATTTTATAGTAGAGACGGGGTCTCGCTCTTGCTCAGGTTGGTTTTGAACTCCTGACCTTGAGCAATCCGCCCGCCTCGGCCTCCCAAGAGCTAGGATTACAGGCGTGAGCCACAGCGCCCGGCCAAGATAATGAATCTTTTTTAAGGATTTCTTCTTTAACGATTTAAAAGCAAAAAGGGTTATTAGTTTATAAAACTAAAGATATCTATATATTCGATTATATATCCTACTTCTATTTACATTAATTAAACTAATAATTATTAAATAAGAATAACAAGGAGATTCAATTTTTCAAAAGCATAAATGCTAAAGGCTGAGAATATATACAACTTAATTATAAAATGTTGCTTTATTTAGCAACATTTTGGTTAAAGAAAAAGAGAGACTGAGGAACATATCCTCAAAATTCATGTGCCAACTATTGTTTGAGCAACTGACACTTCAATTATTAAAACATATGCTCAATTACTAGTCCCATAGTTTGAGTATAGTTAGGGTGACCTGTGAAACAGAAAGCTATGTATTAATAATTCTATCATTAGGACTCAACAAACAAAAAGAACACATTCACTAGACTGGACATAGTAATCGCCCTGGTCTTCAACTACCTGAAATGCACATGAACACCACAAGAAAAGATAAAATTTGCAAAATGACAGGAAAAGTATCTACTTCTGAGCTCAATAAAGTTTTTCACCCACTAAATAGAGGAGAGAATTGATTTCTTGCATCCTTTAATCTTTTATACTGATCTTATTCCTGGACAGTATGACTAGGAATACCATCATTTTTATTTATCATCAAGCCACTACTATAAAAAGTTCAGATGGAGGTGAGCATTGTAAAGAAAATTTAATTAAAATTGACAATCTAATTCACACACAGTAAGTACCACAGTTTGTTTTGATTTTTAAGGATGAAACCAAGTAGTAGTATAGGAAACATTTACTCCTGTATTTCCAGTTCTTGCTGTGTAGGCAGAAAAACAAAGAAAATAAAGTTAGAAGCATGCAGAATGATTTTAAAATGTAGTCATATACAATAAAAACCAAAGGCTACAAACAACTAAGAGTCATTGTATTTTAAAGTTCGGGTAGAAAAATATTAATAAATTTCTTTTGGGGGAAAGCCAGTCATGAAAGAATAGCAATTTATTTATGTATATACTACCTAAATATAATAAAGTTAAAATGAAAATACAAGCAAAGAAATCCTTAAATTTTTTTTTAACGTTTAATCAGATGATAGTAGTATATCATCTTGTTTTCCTCTCCTTTGGTTCTATTTACCAAAATAAATCTAAATTTACAAAGTAGTGCATATAAGAAATGGAAGCAGTGAAATTCCAAAAATTAGCTACAAAGCAGGAAGCCGAAATTAACAATGTAAACTAAATGAGCTATCACAGATACAGTGATATAGCCTATGTCTTCTTTTAACATTATCTATTCTGCACAAAAAACGCCTTGCTCCTGTGCAGAAAAAAATTATCAGTTATTTCCATTGAACAAGTTACACTAAAATAAAAAAATAAAATAAAAATAAACAGATTCTACTCTATAAATCATGTATAATCCTTCAAAGAAGTTTATGAATCAGGAACTTTAAGAACCACCTACGAAATCCTGGACCTAGAAATCTTCAAAATTCAATTTCACTCCTGACCACTAAGAACAGAGTTTACCTCAAATAAGTCATAGCCCTCAGCTTCCTGTCTGTCATACGGACGAATAATGCCATCTTCATGGATCGGGCGAGGGGGACGAAGGCTAGACACTTCTTCAATTGATTCTGCTGCCCTAAATAAGGCATCGGTATAAGTGTAAGAAAATGTGTGAGAATATGACTCCAAGCCTCCCACCATTTTCTAAAAGAAAATAAAATACCAAAACAAGAAAAGCAGGGGCTGGGTCATCTAGTCTTTGCATTTTTGGTGTCTAGCACCACACCTGGCATACAGTAGATACCAATAAACATTTGGCGAATAAAAGAGAAACTGAGCCACTAAAAACATGTCTTTTCTTATTTATTTCTGGTGGCCCTCTACTATGTGAAGCTCTCATAGCTTTCAATTAGACTTTAAGATTCTCAAAAGCAGCCAAAGTATCTAAACAATTTATCTACTCCCAGCAACAATTAGCACACAGACACATACCTTGCACATAGTATTCAATTACCTCTGAATGCCTTGGAAGGTACTGCTGGCCATATCTATGATTCCACCAGTCGGACGAGCCACAGCACCCACAAGCCCTTTTCCAATTCCTTTAAAGAATCCAGCAGCTCCTTCCTTTTTGGCACCTTTGGAAAACCAAGGACAATGAATGTATAAAGATATTTTAAAATAAGCAGGCTTGAACTCAACAAAAACCTGAGCCAAATACTGAACTGTTTTACCTAGAAAACTTCAAGAATTCGGCTTTCCAAAGAACTTAAATTTAATCCTATCATAATAAAATAGTGGTGCTCAAAGTGTGTCAAAAATGCAAATTCTTGGGTTCCACCCCAGAACTACTGAATCAGAAACTCTGGCAGTATGGCCACCATCTGTGTTTTAATAAGTACTCGAGGTAACCCTAAGGCATGCTCAAGTTTGAGAACCACTAATCTAAGAGTTTCATCAGTACCTGTCACTGGAAGATCTAAGGATTGACCAGAAAACATTCTCTTTTTCTGTGCTGCCCATCAAAAGAGTTTTCAAGCAATATACTTTTTAAAAAATATAACAACTTTATTGAAATATAGTAACAGTTCACATACCATAAAATTTACCCATTAAAGTATACAAATTAAATGCTTTTTAGTATATTCAGACTTGTGTAACCACCACCACAATCAATTTTAGAAAATGTGTATCATCTCAAAAAGAACTCCTATGTACATTAAAAATCAATCCCCATTTCCCCCAACCCCTGCCCACACAATCCTACCCAATTTACTTCCCCTCTGCCCTTCCCCTCCCCACTCCCAGACCTAGGCAATAGGCAACCAGCCTAGAGATACTTTCTATCACTATGGATTTGCCTATTCTGGATATTTAATACAAATGGAATCACATAAATACGTGGTCTATTGTGACTGTTTTTTTTTCACTTAGTGTTATGTTTTCAAGGTTCATCCACTTTGTAGCCTGTACCAATACTTGATTCCTTTTTATGGCTGAATAATATTCCAGTGTATGGCTAAACCACCTTTTGTTTATTCATACATCAGGTGATGGGTTGTTTCTACCTTTTGGCTATTTTGAATAATGCTGCTATGAATATTCACATACATATTTCTGTTTGAACACCTGTTTTCAATTCTTTTGAGTATTAATAAATGCCCAGGAGAATTGCTGGGTCACATGGCAACTCTATGTTTAAACTTTTGAGGCACTGCCAGACTATTTTCCTCCAAAGTGGCTGTACTATTTTACATTCTCACCAGCAGTGTATAAGGGCTCCAATTTCTCCACAGCCTCTTCAACCCTGACTATAGCCAGCCCAGTAGGTATTTCATTATAGTTTTGATTTGCATTTTCCTGTTGCCAAATAATGTTGAGCATCCTTTCATGTACTTATTGGCCATTTGTATATCTTCTTTAGGGAAATGTATATTCATATCCTTTGTACATTTTAAATTGGGTCATTTGTCTTTTTAACAAGTTGTAAGAGTTCTTTATATATTTTAAATTTGTCTTTTATTATCAGTTGTTTGATTTGCAAAATTTTTCTCCCATTCTGTGAACTATCTTTTCCTTTGCTTGATGGTATCATTTGAAGCATAAGAGTTTTAAATCTTGATGCAGTTCAATTTATCTATTTTTTGATTTGTCACTTGTGCTTGTGACATCATATCTAGGTAGGTGTTGTCTAACCCAGGTCATGAAGATTTACTCCTATATTTTCTTCAGAGTTTTATATTTTTGCTCTTATATTTAGGTATTTAATCCATTCTGAATTAATTTTTATACATAGTGTAGACCGGGGACTAATTTCTTTATTTTGCATGTGGATATCAAGTTGTTCCAACACCATCTGTTGAAGACTATCCTTTCTTTATTGAATCATCTGACACCCTTGTCAAAGATCACTTAACTGTAAATGTAAGGGTTTATTTCTCAATTATGTGCCACTAATTTATATTCTTGTGCCAGTTCCACACTGTCTTAGTTACTGTAGCTTTATATTAAGTTTTAAATTTGGAGAGTATAAGTCCTCCTACTTTGTTCTTTTTCAACATCGTTTCAGCTATTTGGGGTCTCTTGAATTTCAATATAAATTTTAGATTTGGCTTGTCAATTTCTACAAGAAACCAACTGGGATCTTGATAGGAATTACATCAAATTAACAATGTACTTTTTTAATGGGATAAAACAAACAAAAAAAATGAGTTAATTGGCATTGAGGGCCCAAAGGAATCTAGTTTACCTATATCCCTTCTGAAAATGGCATTCAAAGTCTGAATTATAGTCTACTACTTAATCTCTCTACTTTCTGAGGAAAATATACTTATTAAACAATTTAAGACTATGAATAGAAAATCCAGTCAGTAATTCTCTTAAACATACAGCAGCAGTAACATCTATTATGTTTACCATACACCAACTCTTCAGACTTTGTAAAAGAAGGAAATTTTCTCAACCTACCTTCCACAGGTTTTGTTATTATTCCAGTCACTCCACCAACAACTCCCTGAAAGAGAAATCAATCATAAAGTCTCCACTGAATACATGGTGCTTAATTTTAAACCAACCACTAGAGGTCTCTACAGACATACTGGAAATAACATTAAAAAAATTAAGGACTTATTTGATAATGTGAACAATACACATAATACATATAAGTAAGCACTACGATTTTACAAATATTATATCATAGCAAATTTTAAGTGAAATTACTTTGCAGGAGCGAAATTTTATAACATAAATCAGTAAAGCAGGTGGAAATATTTTAAATCTGGGCTTGGTACCAATCATCTATGTGACCATGGGCAGTTGATAAAATCTCTGTAAGCCTCAGTTTCCACATGAGTAAAATGAGTAAGTTGAGCCAAATAATATCTAAGATATAATTATAAATTTTAATGTGATGATTTGGTAACTTAGTGAAAATGTAGAAAATTGAAAATAAAGGGAACTCCCAAGGACAGCAAATAACTTGACAAAGAAAGCACTTCAGAGAACACAACACACAACATTACAAATCACTGTCACACACAGCAGTTACAGTTTCCTGAAATTATTTGCAAAAGCAATACATAAATCCATTAATACATTATTAACTGTCAAGTAACAGCAGTAACTAAAACTGTGTGTATATTTTATAAACAAACATAAAGTGAACTGAAAGGATATACACTAAATTGAAAAGATGAGGCACCTCTGGAAGGAGAACCTGAGTAAAGAGTACTCCAGTCTTACCTATATTGTTTTACTTACTTATTAAAATGAGAACTTATAAGTTCTCATAATTATAAGGAGAATATCATACATTACCTCTATAGTTAAATAGGATTCATACATTACCTGTATAATTTTTTTTATTTATTTATTTTTTAATGGTTGTTGTTTGTGTTTTTTTTTTTTGAGACAGAGTCTCACTGTGTTGCCTGGGCTAGAGTGCCGTGGTGTCAGGCTAGCTCACAGCAACCTCAAACTCCTGGACTTGTGATCCTTCTGCCTCAGCCTCCTGAGTAGCTGGGATTACAGGCATGTACCACCATGCCCAGCTAATTTTTTTTTTTCTATTTTTAGTTGTTTGGCTAATTTCTTTCTATTTATAGTAGAGATGGGGTCTCGCTCTTGCTCAGGCTGGTCTCGAACTCCTGAGCTCAAGCAATCCTCCCACCTTGGCCTCCCAGGGTGCTAAGATTACAGGCGTGAGCCACCACGCCCGGCCTGTATAATTTTAAAAGTACTGAAAAGTAATGAAAGGCAGTTCCCAGTTTATCAGCAGTTAAGTCTCACACATCCCTCCTGCAGAAATGGTCAATTACAAATGGTCTGAAGACCTCCTCCTCCCTCTAACTGCCTTCATGACTGTACATCTCTGCTCCTTCCATCCTCATCTTCCACTACTGCTAACCTGTCATCATTACAGTTTTACTTTAACCCTATGCCAAACCAAGTCTGAAAATGTGGGCAATAGATTTGGTGGTGATGATGGGGAAGGCAAGTAAAAAGGAAACCAGAAAGTCTGCAATTTCCCATCACTGCTACTCTGACTAAACCTAGACTCATAAGTAACATTCTAAATTTCAAACAACTAGCTAGAGTACATATTTTAAAGTGTACTTAAAAGTTGAGGATTTCTTGATGATTTAGCAGGAGACTCACTTGCAGGAAGCCCTTTCCCCCTCTGGCAAGGCTGTCTCCAAAATCTCTGGGTTGTCGACTCAACTCTTCTCTTCTTTTTTGCTGATACTCCTTGTCCATTGTAATTGCTGCCAAACCTTTCCCAACAGAACCAGTGATTCGAGATACAACTCCCGCAGCACCACCTATCAAAAGATAGGGATTAAAACCTCTAATACACAAGGAACTCAAACAGCAGCAAAAAAACCCCCACAATCCTATTAAAAAATGAGCAAAGGATCTGCAAAGACATTCCTCAAAAGACAAATAGCCAACAGATATATGAAAAAAGGCTTAACATCATTAATCATTAGGAAAATGCAAATCAAAACCACAATGAGATATCACCTCACTCCACTTAAAATGGCGATTATCAAAAAGACAAATGATAACAAGTGTTGGTGAGGATGTGGAAAAAAAGGGAACTATTACACACTATTGGTGGGAATGTAAATTAGTATAACCATTATCAAAACAGTATGAAGGTTCCTCAAAGAACTAAAAATAAAACTATCATATAATCCAGCAATCCCACTATTGAGTATATATCCAAAGGAAAGAAAATCAGTATATCAAAAGGATATCTGTCCCCCCATGTTTACTGGGACACTATTCATAATAGCCAAGATATGAAATTAATGTAAATCTATTAACAGGTGAATGGATAAGGAAAATGTGGTATGTATACACAATGGAATACCATTCAGCCATTAAAAATGAAATCCTGGCATTTGCCACAACATGAATGACATGCCTGGAGTACATTATGTTAAGTGAACTATGCCTGGCACAGAAAAACAAATACCACATGTTCTCACTTATGTGAGAGCTAAAAAAGTTGAGCTTACAGAAGCAGAGAGTAGAATTATAGGGGGACAGAAGAGAATGAGGAGAGATTGGTTAATGGATCCAAAATTACAACTAGATAGGAGAAAGAAGTTCTAGTGTTCTACAGCACTGTAAGGTAACAATAGTTAACAACAATTTATTGTACACTTTCAAATAGCTAGCAGAGAGAATTTCTAATGTTCCCAACATAAAGAAACGATAAATGTTTGAGATGATGGTCTATGCTAATTACTCTGATTTGATCATTACATATTGTATACATATATCAAATTTCACTCTGTACCCCATATGTATAATTACTACATGACAATTTAAAGTAACTTTTTAACTAAAGATTCAGAGAAGTCAGTCACATTTCTTTTAACAGCATTATCACAATATACAGCATGCAATTGTTTAAACAGGTGCTTAAAAATCTGTCTCATATAAAAAAGTGCAGAAGTTAATTTTCCCCATCTATCGAGGAGAAGAAGAAGAAGAAAACTAAAGTACATTGGTTCAACCCTACAAAGACATAGAAAAATACTAGCAGGCCATTGTTGACTTATTTGCCATTTTAAAACAAGGAAACATGTTTTTTAAAAGAGATTGTTAGGTAAGTGATCTCTTTTTTATTAAATATAAGCATTTTTTCATAACCAAGCTTTTTATAACATAATAAAAATATATACAAATACACAAGCATATGATACATACCTACTGTGTGTCCAAAGAGACTTCTTACTCCAATCACTAAACCCTCAGCAAATTCTTCAGGGCCTTGAACAGCACCCTGGCCAAAAAATAAAATAAGTTTAAGACTTTTAATTTAATATTCCAGGGCTTCCATGAAGATACAGAATCTGCAAAGATCCATAAACATACTTTCACCCCACATGATCTTAACAAATTCTATAAGACACAAATTGGATGAGTATAAATCACTGGCTTTAATCAAAATTAGAAGTTGGCCTCCCAGGACAAAGGTTTATCAGACTGCTTAAGCAAGCTGTGCTGGTAACAAGACTAAGAGCCCATAAATTTTTTACTATCTTGTTCTCCCATTTATCTCTCTGCTTTATTCTTCTAAAACCCTCATACACTGAGCTCCTAGATTCTTTAAGTGGAGGTGAACAGGTTAGATAAAAGCTTGAATATGAAACAAAGTTTGCTTTTAATGTCCCCATTAGTCTTTTCCACAGTGGTAGAACAGCCTTGACACAATCTTAATCTACCTAGCACTCTAAATATCCTTACAACTACATTAAATCCTGGAAAATGTGGGCATGTTTTATTGCCCAGATACTAGAAATGCTCACTGAATTCTAAAAATCTTTCCATGTTATCTGACATACTTTTAAATAAAATATCAAATTGATATATTTTTATTATTTTAATACTAAACATTCCATTCCTAAATACAGTTAAAATACAAACTATTATTTGTCATTAAAAAATAGAACATCCATTTCTCTATACCTATCCTTAAAATAAATGAAAGATCAATACCTGAAAGGGTTCATAAAATAAAGCTTCGACTCCTTCAGACAGACCTCTAATTAATCCAAATGGGTTTCCAAGCACATCTAACCCCAATACAAGGACATACATCTGTTTCAAAAACTAAAGAAAAAAAAATAATTAAATTAAGTCCTTTTAACACTGTTGTAAGAAATAACACCACGATGAAACAGAAAAAAAGGAGGTTCATAATAATATTTAAGTTTATGTTAAAGAAAAGCTGTGTGGCATAACTACCACCACACTCATTAACTGATCATTCATTAAGTGCCAGGTGATATGCTAACACTTTATATGGAGCTTTCAAATTAGAACTATGTATGAGGCACAGTATGCCATTTAGCAGTTATGTGATCTTACTCAAGTCACTTAGTGACTATGGGCTTTAGTCTTCTCATCTACAAAACAGGAGGTTACACTGACTGTGCATGGATCAGTATGCATATTAAATGAATATATAATTCAATAATTGTTAGTTGCTTTTATTACCTTATGACTATTGATATTAAACTAGATCGAGAATCAATAACTAAAATAAGGGGAAAATATAACTTTATTTGAATATATTAATGTAATAACCATAATGTCTATACACACCATAGAAGAAAGGATGTTCCAGGAGTGGAAGGAAAGAGAAATGTCACCCTGAAGTTCCATGGTATAGCAGTGGTACCCAAGTAGCCTACAACAACTACTGTGTCTCTGTGCATACATACATCAACCACAGAGTAACTGAGGCACGGGGAGGAAACTAGCTTAGAATTTCTCTTGTAATATACTACATTACACTTAGAAACTATAATCACTGAAGAAATCAAGTGTAATGACTCCAAAATCACTATTCTTCCCAAAGTGGTGAAAATATAATTTGCAAGGGAAAAAGGAATTGGAGGAAATTTTTAAAAGGTTTATAAACAGGGGTAGAACTAAATAAACAGAAATCAATCATTCAAGAAAACCACTAAGTAATGAGATTGCACATTGAGGTAAATTAGGTAAACATTACTGCACACTACACAATCACATACAAATGTTTTGTTTTGATAGTTTATAAAGTATATTCTTTATGAGCTACCATGATAGGAAATTACCTGTTCACTGTAATGCCTAACAACACTCCACATGAGCTGATCTCTCTTGTAAAACTGATATCGAATTTCATAATAAGCAAGTCTGGAAGGAGAAAAAGGAAAGATTCAAAGATACTAAGATTACATGATGGAAAAGGGACTTAAAATTTCAACGAGAGCTAATTGATCTGATTACAGCTAATGCTTTCAAAATTAACTTTGCATATCTGCCACGTATAACATTGTTGATATCTTAATAGCATGGTAACTGAATTATTATAAAAACAATGCATTTCCATTTAAAGTTTTCATAAATACATAAAGAGTAAAATGATTTTTAAAAGCCAACCATAGGCTGGGCGCAGTACTCATGCCTGTAATCCCAGCACTTTGGAAGGCTGGGGCAGGAAGATTGCTTGAGGCCAAGAATTCAAGACCAGCCTGAGCAACACAGCGAGACCTCATCTCTATAAAAAGTTTTAAAAATTATCCAGGTGTGGTGGTACATGCCTATAGTCCTAGCTACTCAGGAGTTAAGGTAGGAGAATCCCTTGAGCCCAGGAGTTCATGATTACAGTGAGCCATGATCATGCCAGGGCATTCCAGCTTGGGCAACAGAGTGAGACCCTGTTTCTACAAAATAAAAATAAAGTTTTTAAAAAGTCAACCATAATCTCACCACACAGTAGATTTTAAAGTTTTTTCTTTTCTTCATTTCCCATTTTGAATTCTTTCTTTTCTTTACTATGCAATTATAAAATATTTAAAACATTTTGTATGCTACTTTTACATGCAACATTATGGATAAGTATTTCTATATGTTATTTAAAATTCTTCATAACCACTTTTAATGGATGTATAGCATTCTACCACATGGCAGTGTTGTCACAAATAATTGTTCCACTGTCAGACATTTCCAATTTTAGGCATAATAATTAATGATGCCATGTGTATTTTGAATATAACTCTTTGATTTTTTAAAAGAATTTCCAAAAAGAGAATTACTGAGTGAAAAACAACAAAAATATGTCAGGTTCTTGGATACATGAAGTTTTCCACTTAATGTCAATAGTATAAGAAAGTGCCCATTTCTTAGACTCACCCTCTCTAGTACTACAACTGCTCATATTTTGAAATTTTTAATAATTTGTATGTATCATGTATTCTTTGATAAATAATAAAGCTAAACATTTCAACTATCAGCCAATGTATCTTCCGTTTTGTGAATTATTGAATTATCTTTTATTGTCCAATGGCCATTATATCATTGAAATCTTTAAGTTTTTCTTATCAACATTTAACATTAAGACTATTAATTCTTTCTCTGTCATATTTTCCCAGTACTTTATTTTTTTAATTGTCTTCATTGATTTTGGTTTGTTTTTTATTTTTTTCTTGTTCAATTTTTTTTTTTTTTTTCTTTGGGTTTTTTTTCTTTGTTTTTAATTTTGGAAGGCCTTTTTTTTTTCGGGGTTTTGTTGGCATTTACTTTTTTTTTTAGTCTTTTCAGTTTGAATTTTGTATTTTATCCATTGTTTTCTCTGAAATTCGGTAGTATACATATAAGGTGAAAATGATCTAAATGGGCTTTTCTCCTACCATGAAACTACTTTTTCCAATACCACTATTGAAAATTCAATTCGATAAACATTAATATTTAATTTACATATGTCTGGCATAGATACATATTCTCATATTAAATGTAGCAAGTATTCCTTATTATCTATACTTTGCCATATAATTATACTGAAATCTCACCCTAGCTACATATTTATAAATGTAGACCTATTTTAAAACATGGTCAATTTATAAAATACAACTAAAATAATTCAATTTTATTCTATATTCATGTACATGTGAGTATCCAAAGAAAACATGACTCTCTACCTTATCATTATGAATAACATAAGCATATCTAAAGAGTATAATTAGAAATGAGCCGAACTCTTCAAGTATGAGTAGTAAGGGTTTTCATTTTTCTAAGCTAACATTGCACACATGGAGAGAATTAATATCCAGAAACCTGACCTTGGCACACCTGCCTCCCAACGTACTCTGACAGAAGTCTTACTTGAATATAAGGTCATCCACGTCAGTCAGAGTAGCGCCTATGCTTTTCAACAGCAGGTTGGCAGAATGAATTGCAATCATTTCCTCTTTTTCTTTGCCTGATTCTTCACCTCCAGAACCCAAAGAAAGGCTCAAATGCAACTAAAAGAAAAATAATGTTCAATAAACGCAAGCTAAAAACAAAGGAATTGCATAGATAGGAACCAGGTCTTCCAGAGACAAAAAAAAGTACCTTTCAATTACAGTCTTAGTGAAAGCTATTATTTGTCACTCTATACATTATACAAAACCCACTTATATTTGATTCTCTTTACTTTTTGATAAAATCTAAATTATTCTGTTCCAAAATCAGAACTCTACTTTTATTCGAAGTGTGTAAGTACCATTGCATTCATATGGAGGAGACTTTATAAAAATAGCATAATTGTTTTAAGAAGAAAAACAAGTCAACTGGCACACAAGTAGTCTACCAGTAAAAATAATGGATAATCATTTATTTTCATCCAATTAAGGTAAATCACTTATGGCACAAATAATAATGAAAATTATGTAATTATCATAACAATTAATAATAATAACATGACAAGTAAGGCAACGATAATTAAGTTTCCAAATACACTTTTAAAAAATAAGGTTTTCAGTTTCCATGGCCCCTCCAACTCAGTAAACATGAGATTTTCACATTCTCATTTAGCTTCTAATTAGTGCAATGGTGCAAGCAGACACAAGCAAAAGGTAATTCAACATGTATAAATAAAGCAGATGACTCTCCCTTCCCACTTTGTCATTCCACATATTACCTAATCAATATAAAGCTCAAGTGGACTTATAAATATAAAGCTAAAGTGAACTTGGGGCAAGGCCAGGAAATCCTGGCTTGTTGGTTTTTTCTTTGATGTGAACTTCTGTCCATGTACAGAGTTAGGGAGTGTAGGGATCCATGAAAGCTAATAAGCACAGTTGGACTGAGAGCCAGCCTTTCTGTAGGACAAAGTCACCGGGGACTAAGACAATAATTGTGGTTCATATTCTTCATCATTCAACTTCATGGCACAAATTCTAGTGTGCCTAAGAATATGAGTAAGTAAATTATCAAACTTTAATACCTCCCTAGATTTTAAACTTCCATGAAGTCATATTATACCTCCACAGCAACTTTGAAAATGGGCAGCAAATATTTCTTGAAAGTATTCTTCAATCCCATAAATAACTGATTTTCACTTAATAATGAGAAAGAAATTGTATATAGCCTATCACATAAAACACTATCAATTCTAAACCTGACACTATATGTCTGATGTCATCAAACTAATACATTAATTAAAAATAACAACTTCATTTATAAATTCATTCATTTAGCTGAATGGACTGATGAATGCAATTGAAAATAATGTTCTGTAAACAGTTTTTGAGAATGTAAAGGATCATCAATATTTTAAAGAGTTGCTTAATTGTAAATCTGGCCCATTACACAAGTTTAGAGCATTATGGTTGACAGCATTTGTGAATTTACTAAGCAGTCACCTTTCTCAATAAAAGCTAAAAAGAACAACAAAAGGGGAAAAGGAAATGGATTCATAAAGCACAAAATCAGGCAAGTGAAAGGTATCCAATTTTCCACTCCCTTAGTTACAATCAAATTTTGGAAGGGGGAAAAACACCACATCAACAGTATAATACCTACTTCAGCGTTTTCACATTCTGGTTTGGACCCCCATTATAGCTTTCTGTTTAGACGGTGATAGCACTTACAAAGTGCAACCAAAACATTAAACGCTGGCAAGCACTTCAACGCTTAATTAAGAAATGCTTTTGTCAGCTTCTTCTTTGAATAAAGGGGTTATTAATTCAAGACTAGGCAACATGCTCTGGTGGTTTCTCTGTGGGAATTAAGGCTGTACATATGTTACAGAAAATTGTCTTAATTATTCCGATTAATCAAACAAAATTCTCACCAAATATGTGATGTAATGAATTAAACATTTGTACACAGATCCTTTAAAAGTTCCACAACAATTCCACTAAATTTTCAAAATAATAATTACCACAAACCTTAACAGGAGATATATGGAAATGCTCAAAGAAACTGAGAATTGACATATCAGTCATTGAAGTCTCCATTAATTCTGTGTTTAATGCATCAATATCTTTCTGGATTAACTTTGTCTGGAAAAAAAAACAAGAATCTCTACTTTAATTTTTTTCTTCTCTACTACCATTAGATTTTGTTCAAAAAAGGCTGATTAAAAGTTTGAAAAATTGTATATTTTTCCAAAGAAATAAAAATTATTACCCGTCTTCTTTCGGCTTCAGGGTCAGTTGTTGGGGTAAACAGCAGTACAATGGCTCCTAGAAACCCCTGATCAACTTTTAAGGCCATTTCCTGAATGAGGACCATAAAATACCTAAGGAAAATTTATTTTTAAAAATGGAAAAAGATTTTTATTAAACTTTGTAATTTTTAATGTTAAAACTGATTGTAGTCAAAAGCCATCTAGTTAAGATCTCATTCCTTCATCTCTTTAAAATTATGTTAATAAGATCAAAGTCTACTTAGACTTTTTCACTAGAATGAAAGTTTCGCTCAAAGTAATACTGATGCATTAAAACTTAGCATTAAAGTCCCAAATGGCCACATTTATCATGCCATAAAAGAGACAAATACAACTAGATGACACAGCATGTATTATCCATTTTTTAAAGTTCACAGCAATCACATTAAAGAACACAAATACGTGTATCATTTATATTTCACATACTATTTTATATTCTAATTGGGGTTACAAAGGGTAGAAGATGGCTGAAGGAATTCTACACATTAAAATATGTACAGACTATTATTACAATAAGTTGAAGCATAAAAGATTATTTGACCAAAAGTGGATTCATATGTTCAGCTGGAAGATAATTTTTATAGAAGAGTCACTTTCAAAAAGAGTAAAATTTATTTTCAAGGTAGATTATCATTTTAAATTCCTTTAGACAAACAGAGGAAATCTTTACTTACTTAAACTGTAAGACTTTACTGTACTCATTAAATCTTGTGATGACACTCACATCTATAAAAGGTTTGGGCTCTAAGAGGAAGAAGGAGCACAATGAAAAAAACATGCTTTATACTAGGTTAAACTAATGTCTATTTAAAACATTTATAAATATGGTATACCTATATTTCAACTTAATGTTGTTTATTTACCTGAATCCAAAGCAATAGATTTTGGAGGGGCAACAGGATGAAATACAACAGGGAACATTGCACCTGGTAATTGATTATCAATCTGAAAGAAAAGAAGACCAACTTAGCAGGATTTAAAATAAATTAGATTTAAATTTTTAGTTTCAAAGAAAATGTTATAGGAAAAGCCATTAATTTCATAATTAAGTATCTGCATGTGTACATAGTACAATTAGAAGTTTCATTTTTAATCTGTAAAACTTCTTACCGACCTCAGCAAGGGCAAGCCTTTAAATAAAGGGAACTATAAATAGCTTCATCACTGCATTAACACGGTACAGTATGTGTACCATTTAATAGAAATATTTGTACCTGTGGATCATGTGAGATTTCATTTGTCTATGGTTTAAATATATAAGTAGAGACTATGAAATAAGAGGACAGGTAGAAAAAGAATAAAAATGTTCTAAATAGTATTTAACAGTTAAAAGGAAGGAAGGGAGAGAGGCCTAGAGGAGCAAGTAAGCAAGCATACAAAAAGAATCACCTTATAAGAAAGCTCTGCTCTTTGCCATGCAAAATGACAATAGAAACTCTTATTTGGCTACCCCAAGACAGATTCAAAGACACATTTAACAATAATATAATCTCAATGCAAAAAACACTTTTGCATGACAACTGATCAAATTAAAAAGTCTCAATAGTCACAAGGTGTTTGGACTTAGCCCAGGCCTCCTCAGATTACCGCCTTCAGGCCGGCCAAGGACATTTATCCGGCCCACATTGGTGTTCATTCCGCTGCTGCTGTCCAGCTTAGCAGCCGACTCCTCCCCGGCCCACAGTGCGCATGTGTGGAATGTGCGCCCGCACAATCTCCAATGGCCCTCCAACAGTCTGAGGGACAGTGAACTGGCCCCCTGTTTAAAAAGTTCGAGGACCCCTGACTTAGACTGTGAGTAAGATGTTAAATCCACAGGATATGTGGGAGAAAGAGAAAAAAGCATCCAAACAAAAAGAAATCAATTACAGTAAGAAATTTCATTCCCAAGGTTCCCACAGTGATGAGAAATAGCTATTTAACTGAGGATGACGATGTTACCTGAAGCCAGTACAACCTGGCCCTTAAACTTCTTTGGTGACGAGACTGCTTAAATTCAATCTGAATCCCTGATAAAAAATCTCGTTTTATAGGGCACCGAATAGGGAGGCGCATTTCCATTGGAACTTTATGAAAATTGACCTGGAAAAAAAGCACATGGTTTTGTGATGAGCTGGTCTTAGCGCAGTAGCTATTCCATTTTACATATCTGTTTATTTATTTGATTGAAAGAATTATTTTTCTTTATGTGTTTCACCAAAAGATCTCTCTCAAGTGATCTACAGTTGAAATCTTTGAAGCAGAAGCATAACTGTTCTAACAAAGTTATTAGAAAAACAAGAAAACAATTGTGAAACTTTTTAGTTACAGAAATTGTTCTAAAATAAACATGCTTTATGTAAAAAAAATTCAATAGTAAAGGATAATTTCAGATGGTTCTTCAACTTAGTTTTACATTGAATAGTTCACAGCTTGTTTATCTGTAACACTAATTATATAGTTTTTTTTCATTAAAGTACAGCTAACATTGATGGGGCTAGGTAGGGAACATAACTGGCAACCAGTGCAAACTGAACGATCAGACACCAAAGACAAAGAGTAAGCAAACTGCATGATTGAATCACTCCAAACTGGAAATTGCAGTCAAATTTCTGGAGTCTTCTTGAAGCAAAGGTGAGTGACTTATACTTTTAACTATGTAAGAACCCATGTAGGACACACCTTTACTTGTGGATGCCTAGATCCAACAATCATTCACATTTAATGAATGGAATTAAGCAGGTTTTTGTATATTTTCTGTCAATAACCTATATTTATTTAGTCATATATATTAGTATCATTCAAATCATAAGAGAAAATGTTTCAATAAGCAAATCTTAACTTCTCTATAATCTTACTGAAAACAAAACAAGTTCCATGAAACTGATTTGTAAATAGAACAAATTATAAAAATACAGAAGAAAAACAGGCTTAATCCTATTTCATAGTATATGATTTAATAACAATATGTTTTAATTGAAAATATACTAATATATTATCAGTTTCTGCACACATCTTTACTTGGGCATTAAAATTTTACTTACTATCACCACCATGACAACAAAATACACACATAAAAATCAAAACAAAAAGATTTTGATATACCTCAAAATTACTGTCTAGCTTAATCCAGCCATGGTCTCTTGAAACTTGGTATTTCTGATAGGATTGTTCCAGTAAGATTATCTGCTTTTGATTAAATGGCTTCCATTTCTGTTTTGGTTTCATCTCCCAAACAACACCAGAACTAAAATAATTCACAAAGAAAATTAAATCAGGAATACATATTTAGGTTTGTGGAACTTTTATTCAACTCCAGATTATTGTAACTATCAACCTTCTATAAAAATTATATTGACAACAAGCGATTTTTTTAAAAACTGTGTTGCAAAATTACATAAAGACACGGGGGTGGGAAAGAAAATTTTTTTATCATACATTAACATCAATTAATTAAGGAATTGGCAAACTTTTTCTGCAAAGGTCCATATAATAAATGTTTTAAAGGCTTTGTGTGCTGAGACAAAATTGAGGTTATTACTCAGGTACTCGGGAGACAAAAAGAATCTTCCATAAGCTTTTAACTGATGAAATTTAAAATATAAAATAATACTTGAGTGCAATTTTTAAAAACACAATGTCTATTTCTGAGAAAACTAAACTTCTCTTGAGCAAGTGACATTTGACCTAATTACTGCTATTTATTATCAAAATCAATTGCAAATCTTCATCTGTTAATGCTGTTCTGTAATGAGCATCTTTAAAAATGTCCTTTCACACAGATAGGTACTGCCAAATACTGATATCGATCTATGAGAATATATTATTTTAATTGAGCATATATATCACTTGGGAGGCATTTATTTACTTTTTTAGAAGGCATTTATAAAATTCTATCAAGTTCTTCTCTTGATATTTGCCTTTCAGCATATCAATACATTGCAGACCAATCATTTCCATCTGAAAATTAGGTGGAAGCTCCTCAACTGCCCAAAAGGATTTTGAAAGGTAGAAATCTGCATTTGCATTGGGTTGGGAAAAATGTTGCTAGAACTGAAGTTGCAGGTCATAAAATATATCCTCTCAAAATATGTATGAGAGTGGAGATCTTGCTTCTTGTTTTAACTTTGGCCAACAAAGGGAATATATAAAACAGCTTGATATTACTTGTCATTCAAACATTAGCTGTCTTTGAAATGGCTTTACTGCAGTATAAGTTGTACATGTAAGTACTGCTTGCCTTCCAATTTTAGATTGAAGTTCATTAAGAAACAGTATCAATTCTGTGGCAAAAAATAATTTCCAAACCCATTCACTATTCAATAACAGTGGTTGAGGGTGGCTCTTTTTGTTCGGAAAAATGTTAACCTTGGCCTAGAACTCAAAAAGAGTATAATAAAAAGTTACTGCCACTAAGTCATCAAACTCCTGTGTAGTAACACCAATCAGGACATTCAGCTTCTACTTCTGACAAAAATTCACAAAAATGATGATTCAGTCCATAAGACTGAATAAATTTAGTGTTTGATGCTAGTGGTTGGATAACACATGATGGATCCTATCTAATATTTTTCACTAAGTACCTACTGACAAATGCTTTCAATGCTTTACATTTTCACAAGCTTTGTAAGTTTGTCCAATTTTTCTGCTCTGCACATTTTTTTTCCCACAGTCAGTTGTAATACATCTTAGAAGACTCCACTTCAGCTTACACTAAAGTATTATTTCTTCAATGTGTTTGAAAATACTCTCACTCGTATTTGTTCTAGGTGGACTCATAGGCTAACTTTTCAGTCACTTCAAACTCAGCATTGATTCCACAAATATACAACTGGTAACATCTGTTGACTCACCAAGAGCCAAGGAAAAAACACTCAACATCATTTGCCTTGTTTTTTTAATTGACTACTGATATTGCTCTGAACATCCTCAATTCTTTAAGCAACTGTTCTCATTGGAAGGCTAATGGCCTTAAACAAGTTCATTTTCTCAAGACACATTTCTTTAGCTGCTGAAATCAGAAATGATTCAATTAAAAAAGGCTTTTCTTGGTTGGCTCACAAATGAGTCGCTCAGAACCTTAACTTTGGTTGCAGCCTGAGGGAAAAATGCAGGTTCCCCACCACACAGTGCGCTTGCCTGGAGTCTCAGCAAAATTGTCACAAAGCAGATTAGGCAGGTACCAAGGTAACCACTGGGATCAGAAACAGTGCCCGGTACTTTCTTGCCCTGAAACAGCTGGCTCAAATGGCCCTGAGCTGTTTTGGGTGTCCTATAGTACCTTTTAGCTAATTATAATGCTAAAATCCCTTCCTGGTGGAAAACTGTAATATCATTAACATTACATCCATTGCATGATAGCATGATGATGGTACTGCTTACATGTGATTTGTTTCACTGTGAACAAGCGATGACACAACGTAAAAGCTCTGCATTACTCACTTAGAAGAGATTTAAGGCAACACCACAGGGCGGGCAGATGTGGATTTTTGTACGCAAGCAAGCTCCTATAGAAGAAATTCCTGTGCCACCCAGGAGCAAGTGCCCTTGTAAGTAACCTCTAGTAAACTCATCGAACTGACAAGCTGGACTTGTCTGAATCACTCTTTGGTCTTTTGGCACCCTCTCAGTTTGCCAGCTGGTTTTTATACAGTCCCAGGATTCTCCCGAAACATAGCCACATTAGTATTTTATATTTTTGTGAAGAAATTCTGCTATGATGAGATAGTGTGCCTTAAATTCTAATTTTTCTGGCCATTGCTTTCCTGTGGTTTGGAAATGTGATAACACTTAATTTATAAACATTGACTCTGGTGTCATTACATAATAAAATAATGCTTTGCCATAAATTTGATAAGAAGATAATCCACATTGCATTATGCCCTAAAAAAGTGAATTCAGAGTCCACTTTTCTCTTCTTGTTTTGACATGATGGGTTACATTAGTAATAAAATATAAATATTGCAGTACAGCAATATATGTGACACTCAAGCACTCACTGTGATTTGTAGTGCATTGAGTAGCAGTACAAAAGTAGCTACAGACATGTAAAAAAAATTAAAAAGCTGTGTTTCAATAAAACTTTATGAGCAACAAACTTTAAATTTCATAACTTTAATGTGTTACAAAATATTATTCTTTGGATTTTTTTCAACTATGTAAAACTGTAACACATAATTCATAGATCAGAAGCTGTACAAAAACAGGCAGTAGGCTAGACTTGGCTCATAGGCCATACTTTGCTGACACTTGAGTCAGAGGATACTGCTTGCGTAATGATGAAATATAAGTCTATACTATCTTAATTAATATAGGTTATTGATATTAGTCAATGACAGTGTTAACAATGTCCTCAATAAATGTGTTTAGGGGATACCAGACAATGAAGGTAGTGAATAAAATATCTACTATAAAATACATAAATCTAACACTTATTCACAATAAAAACTCTGAGAAAACTAGAAATAGAGGGGAACTTCCTCAACTTGATAAAGAGCATTTACAAAAAACCTATAGCTAACATCATACTTCATGGTGAGAAGCTAGGCATTTTCCCACTTGATCAGGAATAAGGCAAGTATGTCCATTCTCACCACTCCCATTCAACACTATACTAGAAGTCCTAGATAATGCAATAAGACAAGAAAATACATTTAGGAAGGAAGAAATAGTGTCTTTGTTCACAGATGACACTGTCTACATAGAAAATCCACAAAGTCAACAAGAACCGAAAAAAAAAAAAAACTGCTCTAACTAATAAGCAATTATAACAAGGTTGCAAGGTTAATATACAATTCAACTGCTTTCTTATATGCCAGCAATAAACAATTGGAATTTGAAATAAAAACATAATACCATCTACATTAGCACCAAAGAAATTAAATATTTAGGTATAAACAAAAAATTTAAAAATATGTATATAATCTATATGACGAAAATTATGAAAATCTGATAAAAGAAATCAAAGATCTAAATAAACAGCGAGATATTACATGTACACAGATAAAAAGACTCAATATTTTCAAAATGTTAGTTCTTTCCACGTTGATCTATAGATTCAATGCAATTCCAATAAAAACACCAGCAAATTTGTGAATACTATCAAACTGATTCTAAGTTTATATGAAAAGGTAAAAAACCCGAAAGAGCCAATACAATATTGAAAGAGAGAGCAAAGTTGGAAGATTAATACTATACAACTTTAAGATTTACTAAAAAACTATGGTAATGAAGACAGTGTGGTACTGTTGAAAAAAACAGACAAATCAATTGAACAGAACAGGACACCCAGAAATAGACTCAAAGAAATACATTTAAGTAGCTGTATTTTTAGAAACTGATCTTTGGAATAATGCAAAGGCATTATTCTGAACAGGAAGCTCATGAAAGAAAATATACAAATGGTAAATAGGCATATTAAAAGATGCTCACCAAGATATGTCATCAGGAAACTACACATGACAACAACAAGATATCACTACATACTTATTATAATGGCTAAAATCCAATCCACTGACAAATGTTGACAAGGATGTAGAACAATTCTCATTTACTGCTAATGAGAATGCAAAATGGTACAGCTACTTTGGAAGACAGTTTGGTCTTACAAAACTAAACACACTTTTATCCATGACCAGCACTCACACTCCTTGATATTTACCTACCTACAAGAGGTGAAATCGTATGCCAATGCAAAAACCTTAACACAAATGTTTATAGCAGCATTATTCATATTTGCTAAAATGTAGAAGCAATCAAGATGTCCTTCAATAGTTGAACAGATATTCCTTCAATGGAATACTACTCAATGAGAAAAAGAAATGAGCTGTCAAGCCATGAAAATAGAGGAACCTTAAAAGCATACTGTTAAGTGAAAGAAACCAATTTGAAAAGGCTACATATTACATGATTCTAACTATATGAAATTCAGAAAAAGGTTAAACTATGGAGACAGTAAAAAGATCAGTAGTTTCTAGGGGTTTGGGGGTAGGAGGGAGAGATTAACAAGAGGAAGACAGGAGACTTTTCAGGGCAGTGAAACTACTCTATAATTACTCTACTTCACTGTAATGGTGAATACATGTTACTACACATTTGTCAAAGTTCACAGAATGTACAGCACAAAGAATAAACTTTAATATAAACTACAGACTTTAGATAATACTAATGTAGTATCAATATTAGCTCATCAATAGTAACAAATGTACCACACCAAGGTAAGATGTTAATAATAGGGCAAACAGGGTTGTGTGTATATGGGAACTTGATACTTTATACTCAATTTTTCTCTAGATCTAAAGCTGCTTTTAAAAAAATGTCTTTTTAAAAAATTATGTAACTGGATTATTATTTCTTTCAAAACCTAGATTTTATTGAATTGTATACCATGTGAGAAAAAAGGCAATCAAGTTCTTTTAGATGAATTTTCAAAATGTCCTTATATAAAGGCCAACCTGACAAAATACAATAGCATCTGTAATAATAAAAGGAAGTTATATCAAAGAACAAAAGAGAAAATTAGATCTATATGACTAAATATAATTTTCACATTTAGTTAAAAATACTATATAATACTGAACTGTATAACCAAGAGACAATATACTACTTATATAAACATAAATATATTAATATTATACTAATGGTATATATGATACCATTTATAGAACCTGTAACTTGTCAGGTGCTGTACAAAGAGAATTACATACACTTTCTCTTTATTTACTTAATTTTCTTCTTAATTTGCTTTTAATTCCCTCAACACATGATTATTGATAGATCCCATGCTGGTTATATTTGGTACCATGTTAACCTTTCCACTCATCAGCCTCCAAAAAATTAATGAGTCTTCTACTAAATTGTCATTTAAAAAACCAAATAAATATTCAAATGTATTTTTTACACAGGTATAAACAGAACCAGAGAAAATAAGTGGTCCCATAAGTATTACAGAGTTCTAAATGACTACCCATAAAAGATGAAATACTCATACCAAATACTGCATTCTCTATGAACATGTTTCCAGTTTATTTATGTTGCTTTACCCTGACCCATGCCTTTTTTTTCCAACTTCTACTGCACAAAACAAAGTAGTTACTCCTACTTCTGTATTTTTATTGCACATGTACATCTATCTTTGTATAATTTCTCAGTGTTTTTATAAATCATTTTAAAAAACATATTCAAACAACAAAGAAAGCAGCAAACCATTTTTTTCTGCACCAATCAACAAGTATTGTGAAGGCAAAGACAATAACCTAGTCATCTTTCTATCCTTGGGACTTTTTAACTATCAGTTCACACTATTATTCAGTAAGTTTTACTGAATGAATGTACAGCACATGAAATTCAGATCAGGTATCAGTTTACTCTCATCAAATTGGATATTATAAGCTCAATGCCCTTTAAAGGTTTCTGATGCATATTTTTCTTCTTACATACCTGGTTATTCCAATATACGAAACTTCCTGTTTGATTTCATTGTTAACCAGTGAAAGCCCAAGACTGTGGAGAGATAAGGTTATTTCATGGTCCGCCTGTTCCATTTCTTCTGCCTGCAGTGCTTTGGAAACCAAGGCAACATCATCGGTGAAGAGCAAAACTCTCTGGCGCCCATCCAGAAATGATACCCAGTGTATCTGAATGTTTGCATCATAGGGAAACTGTCCACATTCATCCTTAGAAAAATAAAGACTTTTTGTTAAACCTACACATAGGAAGTTTTTATTACATGAAATTGAACTATGGTAACTGAGAAAGATTAGAAAAGTTTGAAAAGCATATAAACTGAAAAACTGTAACCATCAAAATGATGTAAATAAAGCTATAATCTACTTTAAAACATACTTACCAATAACTTTCCAACAGTGACTAAGATTAGTAGTGCTTAGTTTTTTATACCTTAATTTGAGTTACCTACTTAGTGCTCAAAGGGCACTGAGCAGGAACAAAAGTATCCTTTGGTGGCAACAATGCCATAACATGATAACTTGTCTCCAAGTTGGAGAACAGAATGGTTCACGACTTTATTAGAAAAGTAATCTCAGGCAAAACTAACTTAGTTTATTTCTATGTTGTAATAATCTATAACAAAGGAAATATTTATGTAAATCACATTGTCAAATAGTCAACTACGGTGATCAGTTTGTACTAAACTTCACTAAGAATAGTCTTCTTCGATGAGGACTACATATAGCACTTAAAAATACCAGACTTGGTTTGGTCACTATTTTCAGAGGCTAAAATAATAATAATAAATGCCTCTTCATTCTGAGCTTCATATAAATATAACAACAGGTCATCTCAATAGGCAGTACAAGTACATGCTATATATTTTTCATCTCATGCTTTCTTGGGGAAAAAAAAAACAGATGATGTATCAAGATCATAGGAATAGCTGAATGCTATCATTTAAATTTTATTACTTTTGAGGTATATTATATGGTCAAAGTAGCCTAATTTTTTTAACTCTTAATGTCAAATTTCTAAAATACCTACTTATTAAGAAGGTGAATTTTCTTTGTAAACTACAAAATTTTGATATGTATCTTAGTTCAATCTCAGTTATTATTCCAATACACTCTGATTCTATTTGTTTTTCCTCTATTAGATCTGTTAAACATTAAATGAGATATATTAAAATATCCCTCATCAATTGTATTTCAGTTAGTTTCTAGCATTTTAAGTCTTATATACGGATGCTATGCTATTCATTGCATGAAAGTTTATGGCTATCATTCTCTCTTTGTCATATTATCATAATCTTTTTAATGGTTTTGCTTTAAATTATAACTGGTAAGAAATTAAAATCAAAAGAGGGAGTGCTGTCACCAAAATGGCGGAGTGGAAGCAATCACTCTTTCCCATAAGACCAAATATAACACCAGTGCCTAGATTATTACCAGCAATACCCCAAAACTCAAATTTGAGGCTGAGATGTTCCCTATGGCCTGCAGTGAAAAACTCCAAGCATATGAAAGAGAAACATATGGAAAGAGAAACAAAATTCTCCATCTTTGATGCTCTTCCCACAATATGCCAAATACCACGTGTGGAAAATTCCTCTTGGTCTCATAGTTTCTACATTGGAAAAAGTGAGATCACAGTGGATAGCCAGTTTTCCCACCATCTTGGGTTTCCTTGCAGGAAAAACAGTCCTGCCTCAACCCATAGAAAGCATCACTAATGCCTACAGGGAGAAAAACCCCCGAGGGCAGGTAGAGACAAAGAGAGCAAGCAGGACTAGAAACCCCCGGCCCACAAAACCCTGCTCTTTATCTCAGTTAAAGGAGATGCCAATTCAGAGTGGCTGTTCAGCAGCACCACATTTTAAGAGGCACAGTCCATGGGTCTTCTGGGTATGAACTCCTAGCCAGCCTTCCCATACAGCCAGGGTATCCCTTTTGGGATCTCCCACCACCCAGGAGGGACAATATGCCAATATTTCTGAGAGCCAAGGCAAATCTGGGCTTAAGGCGCCATCTAGTGCCGAAAATAGGCAGTAATCTAGGATTAAATGGGCCCACAGACAATTGCAAAGGACCTCTAAGCAAACATTACCTAGAAATACCAAAACAGAGAACAAAGACTGGAATAATTAATCCTTCAGTGCGAAGTCTAGATGTATGTCCACAAGAAACAACAGCAAACAGGGAACCATGATCTCCTCAAATACAGCAAAGAGCTAGTGACCAACCCTAATGAGACAGCAATGTGTGAACTCTCAGATCAAGAACTCAAAATAGCAGTTCTAAGAAAATTCAGCAAACTCCAAGATAACACAGAAAAACAATTCAGAAATTCATCAGGGAAATTTAACTAAGAGACTGAAATTTTAAAAATTAAACAGAAATACTGGAACTGAGAAACATATTTGCTGAGCTGAAAAAATTAATTAGAGGCTCCCAAAAGCAGAATGGATCAAACAGAAGAAAGAATCAGTGAGCTCTAAGAAAGACTATAGGAAATACAATCAGGAGAGAAAAAAAAAATGACAAAGAACAAAGAATGCCTCCAAGAAATAGAGAATAACCTCAAAAGGGCGAATCTAAGACCCACTGCTGGTCAAGAGGGAGCTGAAAAAGAGCAAGAGGTAAAAAGCTTATTCAAAGAAGTATTAGCAAAAAACTTTCCAAACCTAAAAATAGATATAAACATCCAAGTACAAAACAGTTACAAATAACCAAACAGATTCAACCCAAATAGGACAATCCTCCAAGGCATAAAATAATCAAACTCTCAAAGGTCAAAGACAAAGAGGATCCCAAAAGCAGCAAGAGAAAACAAGCAAGCGACATATAAAGAAGCTGTGATTTGTATGGCAACAGACTTCTCAGTGGAAACCATACCCTGTAGGAGGGAGTAAGATGACATAGTCAACATGCTGAAGGGGGAGAAGAAAAATAAAAACTATCAACCAAGAATACTGTACCAAACAAGGCTTTCCTTCAAACATGAAGGAGAGAGCAAGTCTTTCCTAGGGGGGAAAAATGCTGAGGGAATTCATCACCTCTAGACCCATCTTACAAGAAATGCTAATGGGAGTTCTTCAATATGAAAGAAAAGGATACTAATGTGTAAAAAGAAAGCATTTGGGCTGGTCTGAGTGCAGTGATGTTTACAACTAATTGATGATCACAACCACTTACAGATTTCTTCGTTCCTTCTCTACTCTCACTGCTTCATTTGACTAGCCTAAATAAAGGAAGAAAAGAAGGAAAGGAGGGAAGGAGGGAGGAAACATTTTAAGCTGTAAAACTCTAAAACGTACGAGTAAAAGTAAGTACACATACAAATTCAGAATAATCTAGTACTGTATATGTGATGTGTAATATACTCATATCACTATAGTCAAGACTAAAAGATAAACTTATCAAAAAATAATTACAGCAACCTGTTAAGAAATAGGCAATATAAAAAGATGTAAATTGAGATGACATAAAATCAAAATGTGTGGGGCATGAAGTTAAAATGTAGAGTTTCTCAGTTATTCCTTTGTTTCTTTCTTTTCTTTGTGACCAAAGTTAAGTGGTCATCTTTTTGAAAATAACATATTATATCTATAAGATGTTTTTGTAAGTGTCACGGTAACTACAAAGCAAAAATCTGTAACAAATACACCAAAAATAAAAAGCAACAAGGTAAAACATACTACCAGAGAAAATAATTTAATCAGGTGATGGAAGGAGAAAGGATTACAAAACAACCAGAAAACAAGTAACGAAATGGCAGTAGTTAGTCCTTATCTATCAATAATAACATTAAATGTCAATGGACTACATTCTCCAGTTAAGAGAGACAAAGAGGCTGAATGAATAAAAAAAAAAAATAGACCCAATAATATGTTGCCTATAAGAAACTCATTTCACCTATAAAAACATACATAGATTGAAAGTGAAGGGATAGAAAAAGATATTCTAACTAACTGGAAATCAAAAAAGAGCAGGAGTAGCTACACTTACACCAGATAAAACAGATTTCAAGTCCAAGTCTGTAAAAAGAGACAAATAAGTTCACAATAAAGTGATAAAGGAGTCAATTCAGCAAGAGAACATAAAAGTTGTAAATATATATACACCCAACACCAGAGCACCCATATATTTAAAGCAAACATTAATAGATTCAAAGGGAGAGATAGACTTCAATATAATAATAGTAGGAGACTTAGATAACCTACTGTCAGTAACAGACATATCATCCAGACAGAAAATCAATAAATAAAGAAACACTGGAGTTAAACTATACTCTAGACCAAAAGGACCTAACTGAGTATAGAACATTTCATCCAACTGATACAGAATATACATTCTTCTCATCAGCACAAAGAACATTCTCCAGGACAGACCATATGTCAGGCCACAAAACAAGTCTCAATAAATTCATAGAATCATATCAAGTATCATTTCTGACCACAATGGAATAAGACTAGAAATCAATAACAAGAGGAACTTTGGAAACTATACAAATACATGGAACTCAAACAACATGCCTATGAGCAGACGATGGTCAATGAAGAGATTAAGAAGGACATTTAAAAATGTCTTCAAACAAATGAAAATAGAAATATAACATACCAAAGTCTACACAATACAACAAAAATAGTACCAACAAGGAAGTTTTGAGCAATAAAAGCCTATATCAAAAAAGCAGAATGATTCCAAATAAACAGACTAATGATGTACCTTAAGGAACTAGAAAAGCAAGAAGAAATTAAATTCAGAATTAGTATAAAGAAAAAAATAATAGAAGTCAGAGCAAAAATAAATGAAGTTGTGACTAAAAAAACCATACAAGATCAATGAAACAAAAAGTTGGTTTTTGAAAAAGATAAGCATAATTGACAAATCTTTAGCTAGACTAAGAAAAATAGAGAGAAGACTCAAATAAAGTCAAACAAAAAAGGAGATACTGATACCACAGAAAGAAAGGGATCATTAGAGACTATTATGAACAATTATACACCAACAAAATGTAGAAGAAATGGATAAATTCCTGGACACATACAGCCTACTAAGATAGAACCATGATGAGATAGAGAACCTGAGCAGAACAATAAGAAGTACCAAAATTGAAGCAGTAATAAAAAGTTTCCCATCAAAGAAAAGCCCAGGACCTAATGGATTTGATGTTTGCATTCTACCAAACATTTAAAAAACTAATGACAATTTTACTAAAACTATTTCCCAAAACTGAAAAGCAGGGAATGATTCCAAACTCATTCTATAAGGCCAGCATTACCCTAATACCAAAACCAGACAAGGACACAACAAAAAAAAAGAAAACCATAGGCCAACATTCCTGAGGAAAAAAGTTGCAAAAATCCTCAACAAAATACTAACCAACCAAATAAAACAACACATTAAAAAGACCAATCACCATGATCAAATGGGACTCATCTTAGGGATGCAAGGATAGTTCAACATAGATAAATCAAAAAACTTGATATATAACATTAACAGGACCAAGGACAAAACCCATATGATTATTTCAATAGATCCCAGAAAAGCATCTAACAAAATTCAATATCAAATTTTATGATAAAAACTCTCAAGAAACTGAGTATAGAAGGAACATACCTCAAAACAATAAAGGCCATATATAACAAACTGACAGCTAACATCATACTGAATCGGAAACAATTAAAAGTCTGTGCAGACCTAATATTTGCCAGCAATGTAAGAATTTTCTTTAAACTCCCTTGTCATGTCCACTTGGGTCTGGGCAGAACTCCCTTCTCAGGTCAACTGAGGAAGAAAATGGACAATTTCCTTGCTTCTAGCTCAGTTTTCAATACCTGGCAGTCTATCTGCTGACTGAGGTAGAACCACTTGCTTTTCCTACTGTCTGGTTCTTTAACACCAAATAGAGGAGAGACATTAAAAACTGAAATCCCTGCATGCACTGTCACTAGGATTCTTTCTGGATCTACCTCTATGCATTGACCTTTCTATCCTCTTCCAGAATATCTCTGCCACTTTCTCTCTAGTGTCTATATGCTACTTAACGAGAGTTGTGGTTGCTGAGTAGTATTAAATATGAGGAGAGAAGAAATGATAATTCAATCACTGCTAGCAATTACCACTTTAAAGCAAAACTCAAGAGAGCCTTTTTAACAACTGGCATTAATGAACAATGGTATATGACACTATGTGAACTCTTTCATCATGGAATATATTCATTCAGAAACTAGATGATGTATCACTAATGCAGGAGCAATTCCTGTATCAGGTGGGAGACTAGCAGATGAATTCTTAAGCCCACTTCAGAGTATAAGAATCTAAGAAATAGCATATTTAATTACTTTAGCTACCTAAATAATGTTTCAATAAAAATTTCATTAAATGTCTGATATGGGATAATTTACATACTATCTGACTTCACTAATAAAACATACAGCCTTCCATACCTAAAAACCTAACAGCCAACAGGAGTACAGATATGTTCAAAACAAAGTTATTTTCACTTAGTCTTAAAATTCCTTCCTTTTATAAATGTATACAAAAAAGGTGCTTTACTACTGGTTTTTACTTGGGCAAGATAAAACAGGCATATTTTTTAAATTGTAAATAAACTACTTGGATTAATCAAAGATAAAATATTGGTTTGCACTACAGTATTTGCAATCCAAAGCAAAAAGTAATTTATTCTGAAAATACTTCTAATTCATTTTTAGTTCAGTAAGGACAAGGAAGACGTGGTAAAACTAGCTAGTTTGTTTACTTCCCTCGCAAGCAGGCAACTCATACAGTACCAAATACTACCTTTAACAGATTGTGTTCCCCAACATTTGCTGCATATCTCCAGGTAAGTTTTCTGGTACCAGTAGGATCTGCCCAGGCAAAAAGTCGAGCTTGTCTTGGTGGCAGTTCCACTTGTTCCAGTGACCCACTAAAACACAAGTAACAGAGGGAAGATTAGAATATCTTGGCCTTGAGAAACCCAGACCTATAGTTTCTTGATGAGAGGATTGGCACAAAGTCCTATGAAATTGCCTTAGTTAATAAAACACAACTCTGCCTAAAAATAAGTACCCTAAAATATCCACTAAACTAATAGTTTTTAACTTGGAGAAACAGAATACTGCCTTTCCAAAGCTTAAGTATACTCTGATTTGTTCCAAGCAGAATCATGCCAATGGAATTCATTAAGGCAAAGAGATTGGCACATCAGATTCCACCTGTCTATTTGGCTATAAATAGTAAATATCTTCAGTAGCAGAAGAACTTCACACAGCGCTTAAAGTTTATGTTAAGAGAAGGGGTCTTGCTATGTTGCCCAGGCTGGAGTACAGTAGCTATTCACAGGCAAAAAGATCTTGCATGGAGCACTATACCCTAGAATTCCTGGGCTCAAGTAATCTTCTCTTCTCAGCCTCTTGAGTAGTTGGTACTCCAGACGTGCATCACCACACACAGCTAATCTTTTTAATCAAATATAATACTTAAGATATATTACAGGTTTCAAAAAAAAAAAAAATGTGTTCTATGCAGCAACATCAGCATTACCTGGGGACTTGCTGGAAATGCAAAACCCTGGACCCTACCCAAAAGCTACTGAATCAGAATCTGCATCTTAACAAGAGTCTTAGGAGATTTTTAAATTAATTATTAAAGTTTAAGAAGTATTGGTCCATATAACACAAAAAACATTCCAGAGAACGAAAAAAAAAAAGTAATCCAACTAGGATTTAATCCTAATCTGCACTTTTAAATCTCTCACTAGATTTACTCCATGAGAGTTAAATAAAGAAATCTTTAAGAAATCTACATATATGCATATATTTTATGTGTATATAGATTTATATAATAAAATTATTATTATATAGTTTAAGGCCTTAAACTATTCACCATCAAATAACGGCACCATCTAAGCCAAATGACAACACAGGCATGAACAACAAAACTCACATTCACCACCACCACTGTTCTCCCATTTAACCTTCTACTACTACTAGCCAAAAAAACTAAATACAGATTTATATAGAGTTCATTGAACATTACCAGATTACAAAGGAAAAATAATGCTTAAACAGGTTTACTCCCTAAATCTGCCGTTCTGAAATTTAAAAAGCTCTAAAAACCCAAAGATCTGTCTGGAAGTTTGGGGTTAAAAGTCATTTGACAGTAATGCCTGATCTGAACTGATGTGAAATTGTTAATACTTCCTATTTATCCCACTTGATGTTAATATTCATAAGTTTTGCTGCAGAAATATTAGTGTGCTTGTTTACAGAATACCATCTCAAAACATGCTGAGGGTATCAGTAATAAACAGTGTGTGCTCCATCTTACCCTTCTAAAATCTAAAAACACTTGAAACATGAAACTCGAGTGATTCCCAGAAGGGATTGTGGACTAATAAAAGCAAATCAGATTTTCCATGAACTCTTTTTTTTTTTTCATACCTCTGTTTGTATGTGAGGATGTCCCAAGGTGTATGGTTTATTATCAGAGCAGGTGCAGATCCTTCATGGTAATCAGAAAAGGTTATAACAGTTGAATGTTCAGCAGTGTTTACATCCACCAAGATACCACAATTCTATTGTAGAAAAAAAAAAGTATGTTGGACATGGTTTAACCTGCACTTACAAATGGAATTTTAATCAGTTATGTACACACAAAAGCTTTGTTTTCTTAAGTTCTTAATAAAAAACAAACTGGCTCTGAACTGTTACAAATATATGTATGGCATTATATGTTGGTACAGAAGCACCTTCAAATAATTACCAGTAGATTTTTATAGCATGGTTTAACAAAATATTTTAAAGTAAATTTTAAAAATCAAAGATATTTTATTTTAAAATATGAAAACTTACCAGATCTTCTATGCTCAACAAAGTGCCATTATCCTGGCGGTTATAAAAGAATGGTTTGGAAGATCCTTCACAGCCGACCACTCTCACACAAAGTTTGCCTGACAAGTTTTCAGGCCAAAATGGAAGGCACTAAAAACATAAAAGTTAGTATTAGTCTTAAAACAATAGTGTGATATATGTAAGACACTGCCTAATTAACTTTGAATTCTAAATCTGATCTTGATTAAATTATTACTAAGTTTCTTAAAATATGCCTTCCACATCTCATATTAAGATTACTGGCAATATAATGCCTATTTATGAAACCAAAGAAACTTCATCAGAAGAATATAGATATATAAGTCTATAGGCACTTATGGCATAATTATACTATGAGAAATGGAACAGCCTGTTGATTGAGAATGCCTCAAATATCTTGAATATTTAAAAAACATAATCTTAATAACATTTGCTTTATGCGTATTCTATTTTAATAAATTAAAACATGATGAATTCTTCCTCAGAATGTCCTAGAAAAACCAGAAAGGCACAAGGTAGCGTAGAGAGCACCACACATCTAGCTGAAGTCCTTATACAACTACCATCTTAGCTGTTTGGTCTCAATCAAACCACATGTTACTTTCGAGCTTTAGTGTTCTTATCTGGAAAACTGGAAGTTTAAGTTCCTAATATAAAATGTCCTTCTGTTATAGAATACCGGGTAAATCCCACTTCTGAATAAAAATACTAGTTATCAAACCCACATCAAAGATAGATAATATACATTTGTTGCCAACTCTATGGAAATCATTCTCAGTGCCTAGAAAAGATCATGCCTCTTAGAGCTCTAAATTAGTTTATGTTGTAATTGGAAACCTTCCTCTTGAACTTTATATTAAGTATTTTTTTTAAATAACTTTATAATCTTTTCTTTCAAGAATAGAAGAATGACCTTTAGCTATCCTGAGGGTCAGCTGGTTTGGTTAAAAACTCAAAGTCAAACACTAGTTCTTACCTCTGCACCTGTCTTCTCCCACTCTTTCCCTCATTCTCCTCATCTTTTCAAATCTTACAAAGCCTACAAAGCTTAGCTTGAATCCCACCTCTTCTCTCAAACTTTACCTTTTGGTCTAGAACACCATGATCCCAACTACCAATGACTTTATTAACGTTGGAAAAATCTGAAACTCAGTTTTCTCTTCTGTAAAGTGGGAGGGTTGAATTTTAGTTAATTTTCAAGGAAACTTCTATCTCACTTATTCAGACATTCTACAACCACTTACAACGTATCATATGCTACCTTTCTCTCCATGTGTTCATTTATATGAGTCTTAGGCTCCTCCACCAAAATTATAACTCCTTGAATATAGAGACAGTATCTTGATTATTGAGACAATACATAGTACATTATCTTTATGTGCTTTTTATAGTACATATCCATTTTCTACACATATAAAAAGAACTAGATAAAGACTATTAACCATCTACACTAGGCAAGTGGTAAAAAAGTTATTAAAAAAATTTTTTTTGCATAGTTACAGTGTGAAAGAAAAATCTTTCAAAGTTGGCTGTCCCATTTTAACACATAAATATAATAACAGTGAGTATGATAAAGAGGTATACACAATTGTTACTTATATATCAACATTTATTTCTATATTTTAGGAACCAGTTATATTAAAGAAAAATTTTACCTCTGATGAAGCAATATAGTTCCATTTAATAGTCGGCACTGAGCCATTAGATGTAATTTCACCGACTTCTAGTTCTAAGGATGACTTGTTTGCAATGGTACAAAAGGGGGTCAGAGTAACTATTCGTGAAAGATTAAAACTGCTCATCTTGATGCTAACACCAACCTGTGGAAAGAAAACAAACTTATTTCCTAGTATTTTCTTCAATCTCTTTGAAATACACACACAAACCCTCATTCACATGCAAACTTCTTAATATATTTTAAAATAAGAATTCTTAAATAAAGTAACAACTATAAGTCATATTTAAATACTATCTTCTCACTAAGAAAAAAAATTTAGTTCCTTAGTTTGGCTCCACCAGATACCAATCCAAGAAATATCAATCAGTAAGTAGCTAATGAAGACTTGCAATGACACAGTTAATTTGGTTAATATTCTTTACTTTTTAACATTCCAAACATAAACCTCTTTATAATTACTATAGAGGCTCAAGTTTTTCTGTTTTATTATTTATTATTAATAAGATAAAAATTTCAAAGAAATAATAAAAGAAGTCAACTGGCATCAGATTATTCAAATTTTCACAGTAGTCAAATTTAAGATTTATGAAATGTTTGGCAGGGGATGGTATGGAATGAGGATTCTAGCATACTGTGAGTATTTACCAAGTTGTTCACTTGGATGGATTCAACTCACTGTTTTGAACTTAGACAAATTCAGATTTTGCTTTGATACCAAAGGCCATAAAAATCTGGAGAGATAATAGCCCTTCACGTAATAGTCTGAATTCAAATTTATGTACCCTTCAGGAGGCAACTTATTTACTGAACTATAGAAAAAGGTGAGTGGAGTCAAAGATCAATAAGCAAGCAGAGTCTTACCAGGTATTCCATATTGCTGGCAGGACACTTCACACACCCATAACTTCCCACTGTATCCAATGAGAAACTATTGGACCAGGCACTAGTTGAAATTTTTAATTGTACCTATATCAGAGAACACAAACCATCATATAAGAAACCTAAAAGACTATAATAATTTTACTTGATGGAAAGTTGCTAGATTATAAGAAATTTCTTTAGTACCATGGGGCACAGAAAAATATAATCAAATCTATATTGGAAATGGGCAACACAACCACAGAAAACTCTCAAGAACAATACAACAAAAGCATAGTTCTGACCTTCCCATTTACCTGTGCAGTAAATACAGTGAATTTAGAGATGTATACCATTGAGACTTTGTGTTATTTTTAAGAAGAATTCTAATGCAAAATATTTTCCAGTGTTGGACTTATGATACAGAACTAACAAATTCATAAAATATTAGCACATAGAAAATTTGTCTTTAACATTATTCAGTAGACATTATATGAAAGGTTTTATAATAGACAGAATAGAAGACAATAGGACATAGTTCCTGTCTTCAATGAGCTTCCAACTAAACAGAGAGAACAGGAAATACTAATGATTATAACACTAGGCTCAATGTGATAAGAACCATACAAGAGGTACAAAATGCTATCAAGGTGCAAGGGTCAGGAGTTTACTTCTGGCTAAGATCCAACAGATGAAGCAGAGAAAAGTGGTAGGGATCAAGGAGCCAATCGCTAGGTTCAATGCCAGCTGCACCATTTACTCGCTGTGGGACCTTGGCCAGTCACAGAAACTGTGACTCAGTTTCCTCATATGTAAAATGGGTATAATAAAGTATCTACTTCAGGAAGTCACTGTAAAAATTAAATATGTTAATCCATGTAAGCACATAGTATAGTTCCAAACATACAGTAGATCATATACTATTTGCTATCATTAATACTATAAAGAATTACACTATGCTATATAACATGGACCTCAACTAAAATACTATAAAAAGAATCAGAATTCACTCTGCCCAACAACAAAAAAATCAAACAAATTCAAGAGATATACCTCAAGTAATATCTTAGAGAATACGGGAGAAGATTCCGCAAAGTGAGAGAAGGATAAAGATGATAATGTAAGCTGGATCCCAGTCTTCCCCATGTGTACATATATAGCTTAATTCATCAGGCAGAGCAACGTATTCACTATGAGAGGTAAGAAGCTGACTTCTACTGATGGCACTGCAACATGCATCTGACTTCCCTGCTCCTGTGAAGTTCTTCTTCCAGGAATGTAAGTAGTGGATTCTTTGTACTGATGCTCTAAGGTCCAGCTGGCTGAATAAACAATGACATCTGCAAAAACCAAAAACCAAAACAAATAAACAAAAACGTGGGAAAAGTTTTGATCAAGAACTTAAGAAAAGAATCTCATTAATTTCATGCTGATTCTACAAGTTGGGTGCCATTATTCTATTTTGACAGATAAAGAAACCATCGCTAAAAGGTTTAAGAACTTGCCAAAGTCACATAGCTAACTCGTGGAGGAACTTACTGGGAACAAGCCTCTGTAAATAGGACTGAAAAATTGTTTTCCATTTTAGTTGCAGTGGCTCACACCTATAATACTAGAACTCTGGGGGCAAGGTAGGAGCATCTCATGAGGTCAAGGAGTTGGAGACTAGCCTGAGCAAGAGCGAGATCCTGTCTCTACTAAAATTAGAAAAAATGAGCTGGGTGTCATGGCGCCATGTCTGTAACCCCAGCTACTTGGGAGATTGAGGCCAGAGGATTGCTTGAAACCAGGAGTTTGAGTTGCAGTGAACTATGACACTACTGTACTCTGGCCAGGGTGACAGAGCAAGACAATGTCTCAAAAAATTTTTTCCATTCAAATACAAAGGCAATCTAGTAAAAACAGATCTCAGAAATTCTAAATATTACATACACAGTAAGGAATTTTTCATCTGGTAATTCTATGATAATATAATGTATTTCCTACAGAAGGGATAACAATATATGTTTTAAATATGGCTTTTATAGATTTAGATAATAAAATCCAGAAGGTTATATCCAGAATATAGATCCCAATTCATAAAATTAAAGATATATAATATAAATTTTAAAGCTTAGTATATTCAAAGAAGTATCTACTATATGAATCTAAAGGAACATGGAACTCCTCTTCAGGTCTGGCTATTCCAATGCGCTCCAATAGCTTCACATTCTTAACAAACTTATAGATTATAAATCAATAGAGAATGGTTTTTAATCTGTTGGACAAAAAGAACATACAAGTTGTTAAAACATATAAGTTCAACAGAAAATGTGAGAGGCAGACAATTACCTTTAGATCTAAAAAGGTTCAACTCAGTATTGGAAGATATTTTTATTGGCAACTGAAAATTTTTAGTTAAGTGTATGATATTAATTGATGTTAAGGGTATTGAAATTATAATAAGATATTCACATGCTTATATGCTTATGTTACTGTTATTAATATTATCTTTCAAATGTGTTATTCTTTGAAGATTTCAGCCATATTTTCTCAATAACCTTTTGTTGATGCATCATTGCTACTACGAAAGGACGCTAAAGAAGACAAGAAGAGTAATACCAGTTTGTTTGTTTTTTTTACTACAGCCTGTTACATGCAGAACTAATAACAAAGAGATGACGATGGTCAAAATTTGAAATCATTTTTAGCTTATGTCATTAGCAGGAAAAATGTTCTTTTGCTGACCAATAAGAAACTTATAGCAATGCACAGAAAAGAAATGATTGATAAAACCATAAAGGTAGAAAAGAAGTACATAGATTAAAGATGCTAATTTTTTCAGTGGAGTAGATCATTCAATATTCCTTTATACTTGAAAAAATACATTCCAAGTGATATGCAAGAGAGTAGAATGTTATACTATTTGACAACCAACTATAACTACAAATTCTTTCATTCTGAATATTTAAAGAAATATACAGAAAAGCTTCATCAATTTTAAACCCAGAAGACAATAAAAATGAGCTTTAAAGAACAACTATAGATATTTAAAATAAAAAATATTATAAAGCAAATGGATAGGAATAGATGCCACTTCAGTTTACTATTCATCTCTGAATAATCAGCATTGACTCAAGGAGCTTTACTATGTTGCTATGTTCAGCTAAAGATTACTTTTCTTGATGTACTCATAGGGCAGAATTCCTAGTATCACCTGGAGAGGTGAGCGAAGGTGACTACTTTATTCCCTTCAGTTGCATCAATCTGTACCCAACGGAGTCGGAATGACTGGCGTTGGATCCCGTACGTTATACAACCGCCGTCCAGGTCTGGCAACAGGGATATCCGCTTCTGTAATCATGAGGCACTAAGGCAGAGCACAAGTGAAAAGAATTCCAAATATAACTTACTGATATTCTCATGACAGAATCATCATACCTCAAATAACGCCGAGAGTATTTTCTCAGACTCAGACTCATAACAACAAAATGCTTTTCTAAGGCAAAGGACTAATACAAAAAGAAGACGAGTTACTGACATAAATTTTGACCAATGATTTTCTTAGGGTCTTGTATATAAACACACAAATTCAACTTATTCTTATTCTCTCAAATAACATATAGACCATCTCCTTTTCCTCTAACAGTAGTAATTACTGTCATATTTCAGACTTCTGAATATAGTTATTCTCTCCTCTCACTCGCTCTCTTTTGAGGCACACCATATGTTGTATTGTTTGGGTATAGAAAAGCCTAGCTTGTAGGCTTTACTCGTAAAGTTTTTTCTCTCACAAGAACAAGAGACATTTTCAATACATGTCTAACGCCTTTAGAAACGTGGTTCTCTCTCACGAACCTGCAACAAAACTCTTTTCTCATATTTTATCAAAAATAAGCCACACAAACAATTCTAAGTGCTTAAATAAATAATATAGCCTACCGAACAGTCAGCTAATGAAGGAGCTCTCTCTCGACGGCTCAGTACTAGACCTCGCTCTCTGCCGCTTGATGTGAGGTGCATTGCTGGCATGCTTTCATTCAATTCCAAATTCTGGCAGCATC